CCTCGCTTCCTTGTAGTGGCTGTCTCGAGAGCTGCTGGCGCTGTACTTGGCGGCGGCATCGTATCAGCGGCATCGTCAACAGTCAAGTCAATGCCCTCCCACTGAGATGGTTGACGGCGGCCACTGGCTGGTATACGCTGGTTGCCCTGGGCACTTGGTAGACTGCGTGGCTCAGCAAAGGCGAATGGGCCAGCGCCTCGAGGGCGGCCTTTGAGGACTTCGACCTTGAGAGGGTCGTGGATGCGAAGGTAGCGGTCAATATCGTCCTGTGAAAGCGATCTTGTTAGCTAGAAGCTAGGATGGTAAATGAAGCTATTCCCACGTACCAAGTTACACTCAAGGTGCCAAAATGGATGGATGTCTTCCATCTTCACACTCTCGCTGTCTTCTTCCAACTGCAGTAGCTCGTGAGGGCAAGGCAGGCCATACTGAACTCGGTGATGGTGCGTACAAGGGCCAAGCGGTTGATATCGTTTCCCTGGTCTAGGAATCGCTCCAAGAGCAATTTGGTGTTGCTTCTGAAGTAGGAGGAGGGCCTTGACAGAGACTCTTCGTGGAAGATCACCAAGGTAGGTCTTGCCGTTGAATTCGAAGCGAACCCGCGTCTGTTGGTCCTTGACTGCCTGTTCAAAGCTGCGTTGCTGGTCCTTAGCCAGCTTCTTGGCTGATTGAATGAGCTGCTCAAGGGTAGACTTGTTAGTCACGCCGTAGCTCTTGAGGCTGCGATGTGTAGCTTCTGTTGGCGAGGTAGTCCGTTGACCAAAGTTGGTATACCGAGAGATATACGCCTGAGCCCACTCTTCCTTCTTTGGCATCACAGAATCCTCGATATACTTCAAGATCGCTACTTGGTCCTTGAATTCAGTCTTCATCATCGAATACGCCTTCTTGAAGTCGGCTTCTGACTTGCCGTAGATGATATGGCGCCAGATGACAAAGAGGCCAGCCCGGGTATGTTCCACACGGTCAGGAAGACTGCCAATATTCACGTACTCGCCAGTCTTGACGTAGGAGTTAAGGCGTTGGAGCTCGTCATCGTCGTCAAGGAAGTTCTCAGTAAGCGCAGGGGCTGTTGACGGTGGGATCACGCGGTTGTTGTCTCCATACTGGTAGAGGTGGCCAACGTCGTCGTCGTCGCCGTCGTCAGTGGTAGACAGGGGGGTCGGTAGAGGCAGCGCGGGCTCTAAGGCAGTCGATGGGGGGGAAGTCGATGGGGGGGCAGCCTCTAGGGCAGGCAGAGGCGGCTTCTTCCACTTCCGCTTGATATTCAACACCATATTCTTGTTGATATGGAAGATACAGAGTTGCTGCTGTACAGCATCACCATATACACTGGTCAACGCCGTCTTGATATTTGCTTCCCAGTCTGTGATGAAAACCTCTGGCAAGGCAGCGCCAACCTGGGCCCGGAGCGACTCAAATCGTTGAATCAGCCACATATAGCCTTCCTCTCGTTCATTGTCGATGAATCCAAAGCAGGCACTAAAGGCCTGGCCAATATGGGTTACCCCAGTAACCTGGAAGAATGGAAGCCGGTATTTGTTGGTCTTATACGTGTTGTCTGCCTGTATAACCCAAGGGAACCGCTTCCACTGCTTCTCGCACCAAGGGAGGGTCCAGAAGAGGCCAACAATACGGCCAGAGCCGTCTGAATTGTATAGGACTTCATGCTTGATACCCTCCAGCTCAAAGATCCTGATCACTGACTGGGTAGCTGTGTAACCGTGGCGGGCTTCCTTCTTCTGGTAGGCTCGAAGGTTTTCAAGGTCCTTGTTGGTGAATATAGCTTCAGGGAATTCGTTGCGAACGATTCGGGCAATATCGCGGCTTTGTATGGCTGGGCTTGCTTGCGTGATCTGGGCAACGCGCTCCTTCTGAAGGTCCGTGAAGCCGCGATACCCAGGGTGCTCGTCAGGATTCGTGGAAGCTTGGTGGTTTTGATGTTGATCCTCGCCTTCTTTGATCGTCAAGACGAACCTCTAGTCTGTCTTCTTCGTTGCGTTGGCGTGGGCCTTCCAGGTGCACTCAACCTTAGAGGTTGATGTAGTACGAGAGTGGGCTCTTGACTGACGAGGGTTGCCTCGGTCGCAATACCAGTCGACCCGTGTAGGGACCCGGCCCTGATCAGCGTACTCTCGATACGTAGAAGAGCGCCCACGAGATATCGCGTAGCCGTGGTCTCTACACCAGTCCTTCAGGTCGCTCTCGAGAGCAGCGAGGGCCTCGTATGGCTCCCATAGCCGGTGGCCTGCTGGTGGGTTTGAAAGCGCTTGGTCAGGCGGATCGGGAGGCAAATCAGGCATCTTGATGCTGTAGATTTGAAGGCGTTGGAATAGTATTTGGTGGTGGTTATACTGACTTCAGGTTCAATTTGCGGGTGGACGGGAATTTGCTAAAGATCTAGTGGGGTTATACGGCCGGGCCGATTGGTTCCGGGCGGGGCAATTGAGGCGCAGTAAAAAGTGCGTACAAATAGTGAAAAATGTGCGTACACCTAGTGGAGCTCAACTAAAAACGGGGCCGGGCCGCCGCATCCCTGATGCAACTCTCCTGTCGTGCGATCATCCATGTCGTCGTACGAGGTCGTTCAACATAGCGGGGAAAGGGTCTAGACTACCTACTTTGCAGTCGTACATCTCATTGCATCAAGAGAATTTCTCCAAACGGAATTTAAGAACCAGGGAGACGTCGTACCTCGCTCGCATGGCGTGATTACCTGCGCAGTTTTCCTGTTTGGTCGATGACAGGCTTCCGACAGAATTCCTCCACGCTTATCCTGAGCCTGGACCTCCCTCTGCGTTGGACGTTGCGTCGCCAGCGACAAAAATACCTAGCTAGGCCCTAGGTCATTCTGTTCACTGCAACGTCGGCTGCATTTTATTGGTTCGACAACGCACAGATAAGGCAGCTCCTTATGCAGAGCTGACTGGCTGCCTAGAAGCGAGCCGTTATGCACAGGCAAGGCTACGGCACAGTGGTTTAATACCATATCCGGTATAGAATGGAGATTTAAATCTTCCAAAAAGTCCCAGAATACGCTCGTCAACAAACAACTCACCGACGGTAAACGGCACCATCAAGAGCAAGTCCCTCGTTCCCCTCAGAAAGCCAAATTGGGAAATAATATTACGTGAGAGAGAGCATGCGAGCCTCGGGCCGGATATGCGGGCTGTCATGCCACAAGCCCTTGTTGTATCCAATAATATGGCTTACTCCCCGGTCCGCTTCGCCAGGACTCCCACGAAGAAGCGGCGCAGTAATTCCTCTCAGGGGGTTCTTGCCAACTGCTCAATTGTCTCTTTTAGCGCCTCCAGGCGCTGTCTTGGCAATACTGAACAAGTTCCAGCAACCTTGGCGATTTCTGTAATATTATGGATACTTTCCAGGCCGAAACACGCATGGCGGTCAATCCCACAGCTAGCACCGCCCTCCAGTCGATCCGGTCATCATGCGACCGCTGCCGGTTCTACAAACTCAAGTGCACCGTCCCAGCCGAGTCGGACGCGCCGGTGTCGTGCGAGCGATGTACGCGTGCCAAGGTGTCTTGCATCTTCGGGCGGCGCAGGCGGGCGGCGCGATCGGGCGCCGGTGACGCCAAGAGACAACGGCCAACCTTGCCCAGGCGGTCCACGAGCCCCGCGCCCGCGCCCCGCTCATCAGCCGAAGGTGGGGCTTCAACGGCGACTCCACTTTGCGAGATTGCAACGGCCGCTGCCTCGCCGGGTCAGGATACGCAGCTGGTGTCAGCTCCGGTGGACTGTGCAACTGACCCGTATTATGCCTACGACGACCAGCCGTGGGAGAATCTCACCATGGGGCTGCAGGAAGGATGCCGCCGACAGCATCCACGTCCATGTTCCGGATCATCAGCAGCAGAGCAACTACATACAGGGTATCAACGGCTGGGACTTGCTGCAGCACAACTTCAGCCTAGACGACGCAAATATCACCGATGCCGGACCGGACCTGCTAGATCCCGCACTACAGTCACCATCCCCGTTCTTGCCGGCGCCGGGTCAACAGCCAACTCCAAACGGCACCATAATAACCATGAGCGGCAGCACTGCCGCCCCCGAGGTAAACACGAGCAGCCCTAGCTCGGCGACGCTTCCGGGACAGCGGCTCCTTACGCTGATTGCAGAAATGCAGCAGCGCCTCAGGATGCTCGAGGAAGGCCCGTGGCAGCATGGCAGCGCGCGCAGCCTCGACGAATACCCCGTCGGCACCGTACTCCACCTCTCAGAGGAGTTCGCTGCCGTCGCCGGGTCGGTGCTTAGCAGGGCCAGCTGCGCGGTCGGGGTACCATCATCCAGGATCTCAGAAGTTGGCTCGACGGGCGGGAGAACAACAACAACAGCAACAACAACAACAACAAAATGCGACGACGGAAAGTTCTGGGGTGAGGGAATGGCCGGATTAGGATCGCAATCGGGACCGATGATGGTCAACGACTGCGACACGACGTCGACGCTGCTCGTGCTAGTGGGCTACATGTTGCTGATCCGCATCTACGGCATCGTGCTGGGCCATTTCCAGGTGCACCTGAGCGGCATCCCGTCCGGCGGCAACCTCAACCACATGATGCCCGGCCACGGCGGCTCAGCGAGTAGCTCGAACGCGAACACGAGCACGAGCACGGGCACGAGCCCGTCGCTGCAGCTGGGCGAGCTCTCGTTCGCCAGCGCGGTCCCGGACCTGGGCAGAATCCACACGGCCGTGTGTATGCTGCTGGCGGCGCTGCACGGCGTCGAGTGCCAGCTGGGCCGCGGGGGCCCCGTGGGCCGCAACCAGCTCGTGACCTTGCTAACCCAGGAGGCTGTGCTCCGGGCCGGCGAGCTCCAGGACGGCTGTGGCGGCTTGGGCGCCAAGGTGCGCTCGGTGAAGGAGTTGTTGCGCGAAAAGATAGGTCTGTAATGCATCTGGATTTAGCCCTAATTCCTGCTGTTCTACTGGTACCTCGTTCAGTTCACAAGGGTTATTCGGTTGGAAGCGAGTTCTGGCTAAGAGTGTCGCTCATGCAAAGAAGTCATCTATCATCATATCATGTTGTGACTGCCGATGATCATGACTATCTATTTTGCATGCTACTTCCACTGCTTTAGGTAATTAAATCCACAATAAATCCGAGACTTGATCAGATGTCGAGTTGTATCTACAACGTCGCAACGTGGTGGATAGCTTCTGCGACATATTCAACATTGCTATTAATCACTTTGGCTATTTGTGAGCTGACGGGCAAGGCGAATGGATTATCTCGTGGTAGTTGGTTGCTTACAGCCTGTTACCGAAAGCCGGCCATTGGGAAGAAGATAAACATGAAACATGTCTTTGAGGATAGCGACTTTCTCTCGAGACAGTCCTGTCATGGAGAACATGCCAATCTATTGAACATCCTAGTTAGCGAGCGATATTGTGATCAATCTTGGAAAGGAGTCACGATTTTCCTACATCTGTTAAAAAGTGACCCCAGTTCCCGGGTGTCTCCCTCTCTGTAAGCTCATCGTACAGTCGCTTCCGCATGTCCTTCATCCGGCTGCTCATGGATTCCAGATCGCGGAGCCACTGCTCATGCAGTGCGGGCTCTTGCATGATGGTCGCAATGACCCTAGCCCCGAAGCTTGGAGTGGAAGTGATCTCTGCACGATGCATCCTCTTTAGTACTGCCTCGACTCTGCCTGCGGCGTTGCGGTTACGTGTCACTACGTGCAAGACACCAATTCGCTCTCCATAGAGACCAAAGTTCTTGGAGAAGGACTGTGCCACAGCAAATTCCATGGCGCCATTCGAGCGCGTCGTGAAATGGCGTATCGCCCAGGCGTCGTTGTCGACATCTCCTGTCGCGAAGCCTTGGCTGTCAAATTCAATGCCAGTTAGCAAGTTTGCCCACCCATTGATCGCCCACTAATCAGTCGCTGCCAGGTGGGGGGGAGACGAACTAGGCTAAATCAAAGACAGGAAAAATCCCTTTTTCCTGGCAAATCTCCGCAATGGCCTCCCACTGCCTCCTCGAAGGATCCAAGCCCGTTGGATTGTGCGCACACGCCTGGAGAATTATAACATCGCCTTGGGTTGTCTGTTCTCTCAGCGTTGAGATGATGCCTTCAAAGTCTATCGTGCATGTATTGTCGTCATAATAGGGGTAGAATCGCTGCTCGATGGCGGGATCGACGTGTCTCCAGATCTCAGTATGATTAATCCAGGTAGGATTGGACATCCATACAGCTTTGGGTTTAATGACGTCCGACAGGAAACGTGCAGCAAAGTGGTTGGCGCCAGTGCCCGAAATAGTCTGCATCGAAACAATCCGGCTGTCCAATGTGTCTCCAAAGGCAATCTGTCGCGCTACGGAGACCAGACCAGGGTGGCCTAGTTGGGGCAAGAGTTCATGGTTTAGATGTTTGTCCGCCTGAAGGATTGCTTTCGCCTAGAAATGTCAGCATTGTCTTTCCTGAGGAGACGGGACGAAACCGCGACCCAAGAAATCACTCGATGCATTACTGAGCCTGGAGATCTGGATGGTGTGATAATATAATACCTTGTTCACTGACGGCAAAACCCACGGCTTCGCATTTTCGTCTCGGTAGAAGCCGGGGCAGAGGTCTACTTTCTTGTCGCTGGAATCCGCCTTGTATTCTTCAATGATGCCAAAAGCGGGATCCGGGGTCACCTCCGGAGTTGCTTCCAACAACGACATTGGAAAGTAGTAACAAAGAGCAGATCCCTTTGACACACCACGAATAAGACCAAATAAACCAGCTCTTGAGTCCTTGCTGCACCAAAGAGGCTTTCAATCATAGGTTGCTAGGGAGCCGCACTATGGCTAGTTAGGTTTCGGAGCTCTAATCCGACATCAGCGAGTTTTCGGTCTGGCCACATATGTCAGTAGCTACCCCCAAACACTCTCACCCCAATACTGGGAACATCGGGGACATCGGAGACCGGACATTTTCGGCGAAAATACATGTGTTGCCCGGATTGCCAAACATAGCGGCTGGCCTCTGTATCCGCATCAAAGCCGGAAGTCGGAAATCACAATATCGATCGATAGCCCAAACGTCCGAATTGCACCGAGAAAAATTTATGGAATTGAGCTGTCAGCCGCTGAACTAAGCGTTCTTGGTTTCATCAATTGCTCCTATCCAACAGCACAATCGGTAAAATTCGGACGATCGGTGTTGTGTTGAGACCCAGATGCTTCAACGCCGAAAAGCCCCGAACTTGGTCCACAATCGTGAAAAGCCCAGTTACGCCAGAAGCTTCAGTCGTTGACTGCAGAATTACGCGCCTGTCTTCGGCATACTGAGTCTAAAGCAAATTTTTATTTATTTATTTATTTTTAATACGGACAGAGAAACGAGATGGCAAACCAGGCAGAGGCGGTTCGCGCCCGAATCGGTCAGGCATACCAGAATGTCGGCGCGCACTGCTTCCCCGTGGTTGAGTTTGCGCTCGTCAAGGTCTTTATCGACTACAAGGCCTTTGACGCGCTCCCGGATGAGGGCGACATGTTGGTTTCTGAGTTGGCCGCGAAGGTCGGTGGCGAGCAAGAATTGGTCGAGCGTATCACCACCTTCTTCATTGCAGCCGGAATCCTGGTATCCGCTGCCCCTGGCCGCGTCGCTCACACGGCCAGGTCTCGCCTCTTCAAGTCCAGCGAGCCCACCGCGTGGCTCTACATCCACGTGTTCAACAATATCATCCGCCCCGTGGTTCAGTTTCCAGCCTTCTTCGCGAAGCACGGCTTGGCTTCGCCCAAGAGCGCCAGGACCACCCCGCTTGGCCTGGCCTTCGGCTATGAGGACAAGGCCGTTTACGACATCCTCGTTGCCGACACACAGACACACAAGGGATTCAACAACGCGCTGAGGGAGCTCGGAGCCATGTATTCTTTGAAAGGCGTCTACGATTTCCGCTGGATGCAGGGAGTCATTTGGGGGCCGCGGCCTGCGATTGTGGACGTTGGTGGGAGCAGCGGGTATGCTCTGCGGGATGCCCTGCGCAACAACCCGTTTATCCCGCCGGAGAAATGCGTCCTCTTTGATCTCCCGAAGGTGATCGAGAATACCAAGAGCAACCTAGACGAGAGCCTGCTCTCGGTGCAGCTAGTCGGCGGCGACATGTTCGAGCCGTATCCGGAAGGCCTCCGGGGCGCGCTCGTCTACCAGTTCCGCCGCGTCTTCAACGACTTCCCCGACGACAATGTCGTGCAGGCCTTGCAGACCGTCCGGAATGCAGCGGCGCCTGATACGCGGATCTTGGTTATCGAGGAGATGCTGAGCGCGAAACCTAACGTCATGAACGTCACGATGGACATCGCTCTCATGTGTGCCGCTGGTAAGAGACGGAATGCCGCCATGTTCAGCGAGTTGGCCGGACGTTCTGGCTTCCGGCTCAATGCCGAGTTCCATAAAACGTCCGACGAGTTTGACGACTTTAGTGTGCTCGAGTTCGTGGTAGGCTGAGAAGGTTTATGAACAAGCATCTGTATTATGTTATCTGGTTCTCTAGTATCCCGTGTGTGTAGTGGGCGGAAAAGGAAAAAGAAACGGGAAAGCGAGAACTCAATTCAACACGTCACGTTTAGCGTTACCTTGACTCGAGAATTCCTAACCCTTCATCGAGAGTGTCTGGGCAAGAAGTGTTGAGTGTAGATCGACCTGATGTAGTTTTGACTCCACTAGAAATAAAAGAGAGAGATTGATACGTGCATCTGACTGGAAAAAAAAAAAATCAACGTCGTAGGAAAAAACGAACTGGTGCAATAATAATAGTATCAAGTCGTTCGGTCTGATAGAATAACTGTACAGTACAAGTACACATTCTTGGGACACTACCTTCAAATTGCTCGCTACTCTGGGCCGAGTATCTGCCACCATATTTGTGCTCATTTTATTCTGCTCGAGGTCCATGTTTCTAATTAGTTGGGCAGAACGGTTTTATCGATGCTGGCTATCCTCGCTATACTCTCTATCGCCCCGGTTGAAATGAGATTCGAGTCCACGTTACACAATATCAAGCGCACCCCCAATGTGTTGATGACCCAGTCCTGGAACTTCCGGTCGTTGTAGTTACCGGCCAGCCCGAAGATCTTATTATGGCTTCGGCACGCCGCGCTGACAGCCTCCAGCGCCGCCCGGAACTCAGGAGCATCGACCTGGCCCGGTATACCCATGTCAGTCGACAGGTCTATGCAGCCGACCATGAGCAAATCGACGCCCTCAACCGCCGCGATCGCGTCGATGTTAATAATACTCTCAGCGGCCTCGATCATCACCCCCACCGCCGAGGCCTCTCCGTTGACCACTTCGGCCAACGTCTCCATCGGCAGTATGACATGTCCAGATGAGCAGCAGCTCATATTTCACGCGCGTCTTGAACATAGACGCGACGCAAACCATAATTATCTTCCAAACAGGCCACCCCGGTTATCATTTTATCAGATGGTTCACTGTGCTTCTTGCTGGCTGCTCAATAATTCAGTGGCATTATGGATCTTTTTGCCGTGGGCTATCGAGAGACCTCTTGCTACCTTAGTCAACTAATCCCGTGGAAAATATATTCCTCTTCACTCACTGCTGTCCTTTTGGACCTTCGGCACTGCAGCAGCACATTTTGTAGCGCCGCTAGCAATGACTCCCGAGTCTAGTTGGCACAGCATGAATCGGATGTAAAGCGTGTTGATTGCCCAGTTCTGGATTTCATAATTGTCGTATATCCCAGCCAATCCCATTATCTTGCCATGTCGCCGACAAGCCTCGCTGACCGATTCCAATGCTGAGCGGAAAACCGACGTCTGGAAGCCACCTGGTACGCCCAGCTCAATCGCCAGGTCGTTAGATCCGACCAAGAGCACGTCGGCACCATCGACCGCTGCGATCTCATGGATATTCTTGATGGCATCCTTGGTCTCTATCATGAGGATGACCGAAGATGCGGATGCGTTGCTTTCATTAATAACTCGATCCTGCAATGTTGTCTTGAGCGAAAAGACAGGCAATTGGCCAGTCATCGACCGGCTACCCAACGATGGGTATTTCGAAATGCACACGGCAGCTTTGGCGTCCTCTAACTCGCACGATTAAGCTCTGGAATCACAGTGTGGCGCTGCGGCAAGCTCTGTCGCCGCATGGTGATACTTACGGGATGAGTGTATGTGTGGGAATATTACGCCCATCGCACCGCCGTCGAGGACCCTCTGCACGAAGCCATTGCCGCACTGGTATGGGACTCGCACGAAGGGTGTGATCCCTCCGAGAAGCCCGGCACATGACAGCCGGCTTGCATCGTCAATGGACAGCGTTGAGTGCTCTAAATCGATGAAAAGCGCATCGAACCCAGCATTTTTAACGAGCTGAACGACTTGGGGGTTCGTATTCAGTCGAACACCAAAGGCCTAGGAGAAAAAGTCAGAGATAATGAATGCATAGCTGTGGTAAAAATATACCTGTGACTCACTCGCCTAAGGTGGGTGGCAGCGTGGTGATGTCGCCGGGTCGAGACATACCTTGCATAGCTGCCCAGCAGCGACCTGAGTGACTAAGTTGTTGACGCAAGCAGTAGCCATTGTAGGTATCGAGTAGTCATGTGCTTCCTCTGCGGCTTGTGGATATCTAGGCACGGTTACCTCTGATGCATTATTCCGTAAGGTCAAGAATCATTACCATCAAGCAATTTCCTCGACTGGGATGACGACGATGCAAACAGCAGTGGAAATCGAGTGGTCTGAGGTCCTGGGCCACCTAGTACCTGATTTCGTCATCGTTTGTCTGCACTGATTGAAGCTTCGGAGCTCTTAGACCTAGAGGCCCGGGCTCGGAACGGTGTTCGTTGGTGGACCCTTGTCCGGTTACCGAATTACTCCGAAGACCACCGGTACCCCATGAACAATCGAGTGACTTACGCCCTCACCGAATTAGCAGGCATCTTCGGCTGACACGACTAGTCTATACCTACATTCGGGTTGATTGTGTGATTAGGTAGATTACTGACGTCCCTGGACAGTCGAGTGATTTATATATTTACCTAATCAGCAGGGGGGTATGTATGTATGTATGTAGGTAGCGCGCGCAAGACTGGTTGTGCCCCAGAAATCGTGGTGAACGGCTCAGGCGGGAAAGCATCGAGCGTGCAATGGGCTACATGCCCTTTCTCCAACTGCAGGTTCCGATCCATCTCGCCGCCTTATAATGTGTAGACGAGCTGTTGTCCAGAGACCTTCTTGGCCCGAATGTCCTCCAACCCTTCCAGCGCCCCCTCTAGCCCCGTATCTCGCACAAGTTGCGGCTGCATACGGATCAGTCCACGGTCCAGCAAGCCCTGCAGGATCCGGTTCCACTCCTCGCAGAACGCCTTGGCAACAGGGTTCGCCTTCCTGCCGTGCGGCGCAGGCCACGCAACATCCTCGCCGATCAACTCCGGCCCTAGGACCCAGTCCGGATGAATGGCAGCGCGGGTGGCGGCCACGGCCTGGCTAAAGGGGTCGAGCGCGACGTAGCGGCCACCTGCGCGGCCCAGCGCTGCATAGCACAGACGCGTAGTATCAGGCGTGGTGATGCAGTCAAGGGCCAGGCGTAGCCCGTTGACGCACGTGTACGACCGGATGTCGGACGCGCACGTGGGCGAGCTGTACTCAAAGACGGCGTCGGCACCGAAGGACCGTACCAGCCCAAAGTTGCGCGCTGAGCACGTCGCCACCACTTTGAAGCCGGCCAGCTTCAGCATCTGGATCGCGCACGTGCCCGTCGAGCTGGAACCGCCACTGACCAGCACCGTCGCCGGCTGGGCCCCGGGTTTGAAGTTGTCGATAGCCATCTTGGGCCCGGCTAGTACCGGCCGCGGCACGCGGTCATCCAAGGGTGCGAGGTTTGGCCCCGCGGGCAAGCCAAGGGCGTGAAAAAGGGCCCACGCAACCGTGTACCAGGCGATGCCGATGCCGGCAGCCTGCGCAAAGGTCCAGTCGTCGCGCATCTTGAGCGTCATACGGGCAGGGGCAACAGAGTGCTCGGCGAAGGCGCCGATGCGCGGCCGCAGTGGGTTCATACCCATGATGGCGGCGCTGACGCGGTCGCCCTCCTTTAGGCCCCAGTCGGCCGCGGCGGCCGGCCCCACGCTCGTCACCACGCCCGCAAACTCACACCCTAGCACGGCGCCTGGCGTGTGGTAACCGCCCGTCATCTTTGTATCGACCGGGTTGAGCGCGATGGCCTTGACGGCCACAGAGACCTGGTCATCTTCGAGCGGCACCGGCGGCAGCGGCGCCGAGCGCGAGAGCACATTGGTCCCGTCTGGTTGGCCGATGATCGCCGACTGGGTTTGGGTGGTAGCGGCCATGTTGATTTGCTCTTTGTCTTGCATACACGCTTCTACTCTCATTCCTAGACGAGGCAAATCGATATTTAGATTCCGCCAAATGTGTTAGCGCCTTGTCACGGAAGAAGACTGCCATATCACGTGGTGAATTGCATCTTTGCGTTTCGAAGCTTACCGAAGACTTCCGAACTTCACCGACTGACTTCCTGGCAATATTCGAGATATATTGGCGCGTGGAACTAGACCGACCTACCTAGCGACCAGAGTGGGGCTATGATAATCCGGTCTAACCGGAGAGTTTGACAGGCGTCGAGTTGTCACGAACAAGAAGCATTGGTCCTACGATGTGGGCAGTAGAGTGGATGAGGAGGCTGATCGTGGATGAGGAGGCTGATCGCCAGGGTCAATCTATTCATCCCCGAGAGAGTGTTGTGCCTCCTTGTGACCAGTTCTACCGAGGACTTGTCCAGTCCTCTATCTGGATCTGCATCAACTCAGTAAAGGAGCATTTGCCATGGCGTAATCTCCGCTGAGCTCCTGCCGACGGTGGGTTCCAGTATTTACCGATGACGTGCAACCGGCCCCCAGCTGAGGATCCATTGTGGATACAGATACGGTCGCCAAACTTGTCGATAAGTTCCTTCACAATGCCGGACATGTCCTTGAACTTCAGGTGCGTTTTCAGGTCGCTCCCGTCCGGCGCCACACCACCCGCGACAAGGATCATTATAGCCTCGGCGTTTGTGAACTTGAACAGTTCTTGGAGATCCTTCACCACAAACGGGTCCTCCTCGCCATTGTCACTGCAGTCGTCCCTCCAATCCTCCACGTCCACCTGTACTACGAGCTTCTGCACCAGGTGCTGGATATCGACGAGTTCCCTTGTCGCCAAGGCTGTCTTGCCCGAACTCGTCCAGGCAGCTGGATGCCACAAAGAACGTGTTTTCTCTGAAGTATATCTCTTGCGCCTCTCGGACAAGCTGCTTCCCAGCCTCATTGCTTCCCATGAAGTCGCTCTGCCGCAGCAAGGCGCCGTTAGCGATTTCGGCGTTACCATCGTCGTCGTAGTCCCAATAACGGTCCGCGAAAACGAGTTCGCCGTCCTTTACAAGATAGTCCCGAAACACCGCCTCGCGTCTCTCCTTTGGCAGCAGCGCAAATTGGGCAGGAGACAAGTCTCCAAGCATGTGATGAACCTTCATGTCATCGTCGCCATCCTCGTCATCCATGTCATCCCTGCCACTCACGCCTTCCATGATATCAAATAAATCCATGTTAAAGATCCGCAACCGAGAAAGAAGAAGGTCGCAGGAGGACAAGCAGATGCAGCGTTGTAGGATGAGAGTTCCTGCCAAATGATGCTGGTGAACTCGGTAAAATCGTGGACAAAGAAAGAAAGGTGCATTTAAATTATCTCCCAGCCACCCCCTTTTTATATTTTCAATACCCCTGGTATATCGGCCAATACCCTTCGGCCAACGTTATCTCCAACCAAAGTAATCCGTACAGAGGTCGCTACCAATTGATATCGCTAACCGCCTGAAGTGGAAATCCTGCGGACTTTGGCAGTAGAACCTCACTAACAAACTTTGATAGGTGTTAGTTGCTAGTGGACATATTGCCCAAGTCCTCTGCAAGTCACTGAATTTATTCTGCCAGTATTTAAAAGGCGGCGGTGATTTCATTTGGTAGCGACCTCGGTACAGTACATAAAAAAAAAAGACCAAAAACCTCTCCTCCCAAATCCCTCTCACACTCCTTGATTCTAAGCACAAATAAGGCCCAGCCCATCCCTTTACTTCTTCCATTCCTTAACATCCCCAATTACCACGACCTTCATCCTGCTCCGGTCGAAAAATCCCGCCTCGTCTGCCTCGATCCTGGCCTTGGCCTCCTCCGTCAACAAGGCGTCGCAAAACCTGCCGAAGGCCGCCTCGTCCTCAAAGACCATCAGCGCGATGGCGTCGTAGTACATCTCCTCGGCGTTGCCCGCTAGCAGGAGCGGCTTGTCGCTCGCTCCGTCATGTTGTGGGTACCACCTCGTGTGCGAGAGGGGCGCCGCGTCGCCACATATCTCCGCCACCAGGTGCATGTGCTGCTCATAGCGGATCTTGAATTCCTCGTGCGTGACGCCAGCCTTGCGCGGCGCGAAGACCATGAGGTTGTAGACCATTGTGCTAATGGTGGTGATCGCAGGTAGTCTGTCTGGTGGAATAGATAGACGTGTTCGGGCTAGGGTAATAGGGCCTTGCTTACCAATGCGGTGAGCTATGTTTCTAAGGTGTTGGCGTCAGATGGGTGGTTGTTGCTATTGTCGCCGATGTGTATGCAACTCCTGACTAGAGTATAGATATTGAGGAGCCAGATGCCGGTGGCGATGCTCTGTTGGTCCTTGATTGCGTATTTATGCACAACGCCGCCTTTGCATTTGGGAGACTGCATTCGGATATTCAAGAGCCTTCCTGCATCTTCCAAGGCCTTCCTGTATCTTTCAAGAGCCTTCCTGTATCTTCCATAAGCTTCTCGCATCTTCCAAGGGCTTCTCGCGTAAAATAAGCAAACATGGGTGCGTACTACGTAGTAATCTGACATACATTGGCGATCACGTGCAGTGGGCCATTGATTAGTAAGGGGAACTATCTCAAAAGGGAATTTCTCTGCAGGCATGCGCTATTTGCTCTGCAGGCAGGTGGCGAGTTGGAACTGCCACCTGTGATGCACTAACCGCCTGCCCGCGGAGCAAATAGCGCATGCCTGCAGAGAAATTCCCATATCTCAAAGGCTGTGTCAAAATTATACTTGTGCTGCCAAGACTCACCGCACCACAGCCTCAGTGAAATGGCAAAAATCGTGGTCGGAGATGGTGCTGACTGCGGTGATGTCTGGCACCCCGCATGTAATTATCTCCGTTTGGTGGGGGATTACGTGGCCAGTGACTGATGTGGCTTGTATTTATGTTCCATTGGGTACTACTATGTAATTAACACCAATAGCTGATTTTGCGCTTCAACAACATTTACATTTTAGCTGAAGGCTGCCTTGTGAACTGCCGCTCTAATTAGCTTGCAATTCCACAGCAGATCATTTCAGCAAAATGAATTCCAACCACCAGCAGCATACTGGGCAGATATTGTACGAAGCAGGCCAACCACTGCCGGAAGATCACATCCGAAACATCAGGCAATCGACCAACAAGCCTGAAACGCCAGCAAAACCCACATTTGGCCTGGATTCTCCGAAAGGGTTGCTCGCCTCGAACGTTACGGCGCCCATTTACCTCCACGCGTCACTGCGAGGCAAACATGTCGTCTGGGACAAGCTTCTCTCCGAGGTCCCAGATAGCCTCTTCTACCAGCCTGCCCTAGATGTCGGCTGCGGCCGGGGTATGGTGCTGCTCAAGATTGCGCAGCGCAAGAAGGACCTTGCCGCCGCTGGATCCGGATCCTCCAATTACCCGGAGGTCCACCCGGCGTACGGGATCGACATCTTTAATTCGGAGGACCAAACCGGCAACTCCCCCGTCGCGACATACAAGAACGCAGCTGCTGTGGAAGTTCTCGACTACGCTGTTCTGCACACCGCAAGCTTCACGGAGAGGCTCCCTTTTGCGGACGGCGTCTTCTCCCTGGTCACGTCGAGTCTGGCGATACACAACGTTTCCCGGGACGGGCAGGCGGCGGCAGTAAAGGAGATTGCAAGGGTCTGTGCCCCAGGAGGCAGAGTTATCATCGTAGATCTTTTCCGAGTGAAGGACCACAGCGCTCTTCTGAGAGACATGGGTTGGAAGAACGTGCGGGTTAAGGGAGCGGGAATACGAATGTTGTTTGGAATTCTGCCTTGTCAGATTCTGACCGCAGTAAAGCCTGAAACTGTGGCATCAGAAATAGCATAAGTTGTATCAGAGCAACCCCCCAAGATGTTAAGATATCTTACCTGACGGTGGAAAAATGGGAGGACTGCGCCAAAATCGCTCTCGGAGGTGTTTAGGGAGTTCGATACGCCCTCCTGCTATCTGGGTAGCACGAGGATAGGCGTGCTGCAGACAAGGTACGGCCTGGTGGGTTCGGGGACCTGCAAGGACAGTCGGGCGATCACCAAGGAGTTCGTCGAGGCTAGGGGGCGCGTTTTCCACATCAATATCCGGTTGAGGTCGGCTCTTCTCTTGTCTAACAAGTTTCTAAATGTTGCTAGAATAAGAGATTAAGAGTGTGCATCGCACCTAGCCCCATGCTTCACTGGGCACGGAGAGTAATAATTACGACATCTTTTCAACCCATCGTGCTGGATCCGGGGCCGAGGTCCCGCCCACCACCACAATTTCCAACATCACAGCAAGGCAACTAACTAAACCCCGGACATACTGTCCAGCTTCTCCTTAACATCTGCAGGCATCTCTGTGGCAACAGTGCCATTAATCCTCCTGCTGACAAAGTTGGTCAAATGCTTGTCGATATCTTTGGTGAAGAGGCTAGCGATTATTGCGATGCCGCCAAAGCCAATCGAGGCGAGGTAGACAGTGCTGAAGCTGGCGGCATAAGCAGTCTTGAGACCGTTCGTTACGGCTGCCTCGATGGCGCCGTTGATCCCGGGGACGGCGCTCATCGCAGCTGCTGTGCCGTTGGTGATAGCCGTGAGCACGTCGGGGACGGAGCCAGAGGGTAGTCCGGCTGACACGGCGGCTTCCGCAACGTCGTGAGGAATGGTGACGGCGAGACGGCGGTCGAGGATGGCGACGTAGATGCTCACTGGATAAGAATTACATGGGTTAGACCTTGAAGGAATGGATAGTCACATCCCAAGGTATGGGAGTGCTGTGACCAGGCAGAGAGGCTCACCGGATACAGAGGCAGCTGTGTTCCGTACGGAACCTAGAAATCCATTGGCGAGGCCGAGATCAGATGGGTCGTTGACTAGGCCGTTGGCAACTAGGGCGACAAGTTCAAGCCACCCGCAAAAATATCCCGTCAGGATTGAAAACTGGAGAGAGTAAGTACACTGATATACAGCAAAAACAATATTCTTGAAGACTTACAGCAATAGCCATGCCCTTGGTGTGCTGAGTCGTGGCAGCCATTGCGCCGGAGAAGGTGGTCATGGCAACCGCAGATATGATTAGTTGAATCCTGGAGTGGCCCAAAGGTTTGAGGAGAGGTCCCTGGATGATCTCTCCGATAGCCAGGGCGAGGCCGGAAGTGCACTAAGCATCACAAACAAGACACTGTCAGCAAGCTAAAATGACAATAACAATAACCAATAAGAAAGCATGACTCACCGACATCCATCCAATCGTGGCATTGTCAGTGCTGTACAGAGCTGCGATCTGCTGTGGCCAAAGGATAGACATGCAGAAAAATGCCATCTGTCCAACAGCAGCAAGAACGACAATGGCGACATAGTTTGTGTTTCTGAGGATTTTGGTTGGTAGAATGGGCTGCTTTAGAGGCATATAGACCTCTTCGCTAAGTGTTTTAGTTATCGAGTTGGAGTGGAGATAATCGTGGGCAGATGTGCTCACCGTAGAAACCAAAGGCAATGAGGAGGAAACAACCTAGAATTAGAGGTGCAAGGATATGAGCACTGGCCCAAGGGTATGCAGCACCACCCCAGGCTAAGCAAAATGGGTCAGTTAGTCCCCTCTTGGGAATCTAAAAGGAGGCTTGGATGTTTACTGACCAAGAGCCAGGAGGATCAAACACTGCCCTGAGGCATACAGGATGATCCCACCGTAGTCAAATTGCTTGAGTTCCTTGATCCAAGTCAACCTGGAGTGCAACTGGTGCATGTTTGGCGGGAAGTAGCAGAAGCACAACAGGATGAATGATACACCACACACGATAGCATTCATCCAGTAAACCCATCTTGATGCTTAATGTTAGCCTCCTTGGCACGGTTCTAGATAAGGCAGCTAGGCAGCTACACCTTGGGTGGTGATCTATCTTACCGCCAGCCAAGCTCAGTGTTCTCGATGAGGCTTCGTGCAATAACCGGCCCGAATCCTGCAAAAGGCACGACACAGAAGATCATGACAGCCTGGGCGTAGCCTCGATGCTTGTTTGGGACGAGTTCTTGGATGACGAAGGGGAAGGTAAGCTGGGATGTGTTGGCCAATCCCAGAATGACGGATCCCGCGATCAACATGTTGATCGAGGTGGCCTTGGCCGAGAGGACGGATGCAATGAAGCCGCAGAGCTGTCCGCCGATGAGGAAGTAGCGTCGACCAATGATATCTCCCAAGCGGCCAACCAGCAGGAGCAGGATTCCTGACACCATAGTCGCAGCAGTCGTGATGAAGCTGTAAATGGGTGAAGGACCTAATCATTGCGCATATAATGAGTCAACACGGTGTCAAACTACCAGGGATTATAGTTCGCGCGTTGGTTGCATGCCGTACCGAGGTCTTCATTGATAACCTGCAAGCAACTTGCTGGCAGAGCGAACCCAATGTAGAGAGAGATGGTGATGAGGATGATACTGGCGACCGAGCCGAGGAACCTGAAAGAGCGCCAATACTTGGGATCAATGGCCTCGAAATCGACACCCTGCGCCTCCGGGGCCTCGTCGTCATCGTCGGTGGCGATCCGAGTCATTTCTTTGTGCTCTACATCCGTCTTGTCGAAGTCGGTTGCTGATGGCACCTCATCGCGATGGTCTGCCATGGTTGACGAGACGCCTTGGGAAAGGCGAAGGTGTGGGGGCTGTTCGTTGTTTCGCCAAGGAAGTTTGTGGGGGCAGCCAAGGATATTCGTCGATGCAGCCAAGACGGAAGGGACAGAGGTTGAAAGCTTGACCAGAGCTGGCGACGCCCTAATATAACCACTTTACCAAACTCTGGGGAACAAGGTCTGTTCCATGGTATGTATCCGTGCCTGCATTCTCCCCTGTCTAACTAACTAACCCTCCAACCCCACGTTCCCCCTCTCCTCCCCCGGATTCCCCGAGATTCCCGTCACACCTGATGGTAATCGTATCCGACATGCGAGCTTTCTCCACTCCACACCTCGGAAACGGTTACCCATTTAATTCTGAACTAGGCCTAGGTTGCCCTATACTAATAATCCTAATGATTCAGTAGTAGTGTCATTGGGCTGGTCAGTTCCTTCGCGACTGCAGGTAAAGGAAATCGACCCATGAATCAGACTGGACAACCCTAAGAATCAGTCATATGGCAGCAGTTGACTGAAATCTTGTAATTGCAGGTCTAATGGCAGGTTTAAGAGACAAGCAGCATTGCATTGCATAACCGCCCTTCTGGGAACCTCGTGGGTCTGACGGAGAGACAAGTTATACTTTCTAGCTATTAATTACTCATTAGTGCCGGTACTTGGCAGTCCCACTGACCCAGAGAACTGGGTCCAACGAGGCAATTAGGACGGCTATCTTGTTCTAGACCATTGGCAGGAAAGCACACGCAGAGGTTATTTAACACTAAATCTTATCCTAGCTTGACTTAACCAATGCATTTGCCTCGTCTTATCGTGTTGTCATACCTGGTGCTACACAAAGCGCTATTTTGCAGGGCCTAACCGGGCAGGTAGCTTTAGCTTTAGCTAGCTTTACGATAGGGGGCGATGGGCTGAAGGCAGTGCCCAATGTGCAGATTATTAGTGCTCAGCTCTCTCAAGCAAGGTGGCAAGGTGGGGAAGGATGATGGCAGGTTGAAGAGATGAGCCGCATTAGACAAAAAGATTGTTGATATTTATACGATAAGATATACAATAAGAAATACATGTCTCTTCTTAAGAAATCACCAATCTGTGACGTTAAGCAGACGAAGAGGAAAATGTTTTACAACCTAGTATTAGCACTCAACTTCACACGCCTTCAGCTACAGGAGCAGGATTGATGGGAACGAAGAGGATTGTAGTCGTATATAGAGAGATAGTCGTCACTTTCCTGTAACCAGATGGGAAACGCCAGGCTCAATGTTTTCAAGCTTTTCAAGGAGTTCATTGTACACCCGATGTTGTGTTTCCAACCCATCCTGGCTGCGTATGGGCTACACCAATGTCAATGACATAGAACCAACAGCCTGAGGGCATTTTAGGTACTTACGGTTCAATTCGGCCATTTCTCATGTACTGGCCATGTGTTGCGGCCGATCCAGCACCGGCGAAAATATGTGCACGACTCCCCATCTCTGTAGTCCGAGCCAAAACCAGTCGAAGAAGAGCGGCCAGTGGTCGAACCCACAGCGGCGCCCCTCTGCCTAGATCAGAGACGCAGAAACCTGGATTTGCGCAATTGATTATTTACACCATGGTTGCCAGGCTCTCCCACGCGGGAGGCAAGCTCTCTTGTTAGGATGACACCCAGCAGCTTTGTCACTTCATAACGACGCCGTATTCCCTGAACGGACTTATCCGCATTCAACGCGGCGAAGACGTTAGGCTGATGCCTCTCGGGAAGGTGTGCCATGCCGTGAACATCGGAGACGATGAAGGTCAACCGTGGCTGGGTGTTGAAGGAGTGTGCGGTTTTCCGACACAGCGGCAGCAACAAGGTGCCCAGCAGGAACGTGCTGACAACATTTACCGTCAAGGCAGCCTCATTGTCTTCCAGGGCGACGTAGGAGTGAGGACCCAAAGCCGCGTTCTCAATCACACAATCCAACCTGGGGAGGTCGCTATCACAGCTCCTCGCAAATATCTTGACCGACTCGCAGCTGGAAAGATCGAGCCCCCACACGTCGACAGCACCTCTTCGCCCCGTGGACTCAATGCGTCGTTGGGTCTCCTTTCCCTTGTCGAGGCTCCGGACAGCTAGAATTACCCTCTCAGCATGCAGACAGACCAAATGGCGCGCTGCTTCGAATCCAGGCCAGGTATTCGCACCGGTGATAATCACTGTCTGGCCGGTTAGGCTGAACTTCGGTCGGCTCGGGGAGTGACACGAAGAGCTGGTTGTAGATGATGCCCGGCAGAATGGCCATGATAGAATAAAGAAAGGGGTTTGACTATGCTGGTGGCAGGGGTGATGTGAGATGGTGTCGTACCAGGGGCCACAGCATTAGCTCCCAGACCCAGTTCCGGCATAATAGGTATCCCACGAGAACCAGTCGAATGTGCTATCAAACGGCCGTTTGCGGCCGCGTGAAAGATTTGACCCAGACGGAAAGTTCGGATCATGATCCATTTCAGAGTCCTGGCGAGGTCGAACAGTAGCGTCAGCGGGTAGCCAGTCCAAGTAGCTGTTGATATCCATGGATCCGACGTCGAACATTGAGAGATCCACCATCAGCGGTATGTCGCAAGTACTGGACCTAATTTCTTGACCTAATGGTCCATCGTGTCGGAGGGAGTCCCCACTCTCGCTCTGGCCGGTTCTGAGTGTCCTTGAGTTTGTGGGAACCCCAGAGGCGGTATTGGTGGCCGTTCCAGAAGCACTGTGTACGACCTGCCTTCGCGCGAGCTGCAGGAACACGGTTGCGACGTGTTCCAGCTTTGAGGAAAGATTGACCAGGAGATTTACTTGGGATCTCATGCTAGCAAAGTAAGACACTGCTGTAGACAGCAAGGTGAGGTCTTGCTGGGCTGTTGGAGCCCGAGGTTCGCGGATGATGTTGCCAAAAATGACGAAGAACGGCGTGAAAGGATAATAAAGTAGTTGCCTTTGTCGGTGCGCTAGGTTAGTCAACTTGCGCACGAGGAGGAGATGATGGGTGCTCATACCAGATTATACCATTGTAAACCGAGGTCCAATTAGATACCATCGATGGAAGGATCGAAACCGCCTCTCGTGCAGAAGCCAGCAGAAGCTCCGGGTAAGAGAAGTCGTCCTTCAACAGTAAGACGAGGATATGTAAGTACTGAAACTTCATGCTGCGGATCCCTAGTGTCATCTCGTGCAGTTGGGCTGGATTGACAGAGTCCCTTTCCTTCTCCATTGTCTGTGATAGAAGCTAGTGGTTCGTCAGCAATGTTCACCCTCTCATCATGATGAAACAGACCTGGTTTGTCTGCAGATACCATGCATCGAGCTCGGATCGCAGACTATTCTTGATGGAAGAGGGTTCGCTGTGGGCGAGAGAGTCCAGCACCATCCCTGTGAGTTTGGCCAATTCAATATTCTGGCTGAAGACATGGGCTCCAAACGTGGTCGAATCTGACTTGTGTTTGCCATTGAAGAAATGCGTATCGTGTGGCTGGAACTTGAGTAGATGACGCCAGTCTGGGTGTGGAACATGCCGGTACAACGTTGTGGGGAGAAATGACGGCCTGCCGAAAGCGAGAGAACAAGACTTGTCGATAGCAAACAGCGTCCAGAAGAGACACAGCCATCGTTGTTGTAGGTCGTAGTCCGAGCTGGTCACTAGATGAAGGCCTAGAGCCTGAGCCTGTCTGCAAGCATGTCCGGCAAGCATCCATGACAAATTTGGAGAGGCGAAGTCTTCTCCATGCACAGCCAGAAGCATCAAGGCTTGGATGTTGACTTCACTCGGCTGTAGGAATATTTTCGAGTTATTCAGTGCCAGGTGTGTGTTCCGTCTGAATAGCCGCATGTTATCAACTTGGGTAGGGTCGGTGGACACAGAGGCGAGCATAGTGTAGTTGAAGAACACGACCCAGGCCATTTGAGAGACCTTGTCTGGATGAAATACCACCTGCACCAAGACGTCGTCTGGCGGAACAAAGAATATCGCTTCGCCGGGCTCAACGTTTTGCAAAAACCCTGCAAGGACTTAGTTAGGCTCCTCTTGAAGACATAATAATACTGCTTGGGGTTCTTACGACTGATGAATCCGTAACCGGCCTGTTTTGTAGGAACGTGGAATCCCATTGCTGAGTCTGCCTCCTCGGGACCCTGCACATCGACTGCGGCAGTAGCGATGGCAGTAGAAAGGTCGTTCAAATCTTCCCGGGCGTTCTGGTGCTCAGTTATGGATGTCGACGAGTTTCTCAGCCCCTCAACGTTCGACAATGCATCTCTAACAATGGAGAACGAGTGTGATGGACCTATAAAAAGCTGGGGCTCTTTCACACCCATGCTAGACGTAGCACAGTGAGAATCGCCCCTGGGATACGTGGCTGTGCGTGCAGACTTCACAGTTCCCAGTACTTGGTTCACAGAGCTGGTCAAACTCTGGACCGCAAGCTCAATGCGATCAAGTCTTCTCTCGACACTTTCAATCACAGACGTGGTTGTCATGCTCTCGGTCCCCGGCCCCTCACTTCTAAATGGAGACAAGTCAGCGGCTGGCTATCAGGCGCCGGGCCCAAGACCTACCGCAAGTCCGAGCGACCCAGCCTGGGGGCTAGATTCTCTCGCGAGTATTCGCAACTCCCAGGCCATGGCCTACATGTGCTGCACTTTGGAAGCTCCTTGGAGCACCTAGCATACACCAACGGTAAGCCCAATGGACTCGGTCTGGACCAGACAGGGCGATATACTTGAGCTTCTTCTGCTGGCAGAAGTCACACTGTCCAACCAATTAGCGAAGGGCTGCTCGGGGCTTTCCGGATCTTGCGGCTCTTACTGCAAACCGAGCTAGGGCATCACCCGACACCGGCCGGGCTCGGGATTCCATATCAGTGACTGGCCGCGCAATGGGGCTCCGAAATGGAGTGAATGGGCTGAAAGGAAAGGGGTGAGGTGGTTGATGGTCCTGAGATCTCCATTAGCTTCCGAGGTTACAGGATCTGACTGGCTGAGCTCGGGAGGGGTAATGGGGAGTAAATTCCGAAGCCATCCAATCACGACTCTTCATGCCGGGAAACAGCCTCTCCACTCACTCCGTGCCGCCCGTTCCGAGCCAATTAGCTTCGATAAAACAGGCTGAGGGACGACGATGTAGTATCCGCCAGTGAGACTCGACGTATGCAAGCCTAAAACGAACGTCATCTCGTCTGCACAGGTCTCGGATCGGATCTGCTGGCCTGGCACGCGAGTCAAGGGCAAGGCAGAGATATATAAAGAAGAATGCCATGACTCCGGATAGTGACACGGCTTGTAGGCCATGCCGCAGAACTACAAGACCCAGTCCCGGTTTCCACCTGAACATCAGTGCTGTAAAAGCAATATCACATTAGCTATTCATTACCGCATCTTAAGACAATGACACCTCCTATAGCAATCATCGGCGGCGGACCTAGCGGCCTGACCTTCGCCCGCCTGCTCAAGTGCAATGGCATCGACTACATTGTTTATGAACGCAACGCGTCCGCAACCGCAACGACGGAGCAGCTGGGCGGCTCGCTCGACCTCCACGGGCCTACGGGTCAGCTGGCCCTCAAGTCCGCGGGCCTGTTCGACGAATTCCAGAAGTACGCCCGGTGGGACGCCACGACCACCTTGGTCGCTGACAAGTACGGCAAGACGCACATGAAGTTCGGCGAGGGGCGCGACGCCCCAGAGATTGACCGCGTTCAGCTGCGCAGGCTTCTCCTTGAGTCCATCCCGGAGGACAAGGTTTGTTGGGACCATGCTGTGAAGAGCACACATAGGGATGAATCTGGAAACATAGTCATCACATTCCTGAATGGCGCCACAGCGTCTGGCTTCAAGCTCGTTGTCGGTGCGGATGGTGCCTGGAGCAGAGTGCGCCATTTGGTACGCTACCCGCATTAGACCGTTCTCTCTCTCTCCCAAATTAGCTCAATACTGACGGATCTTGGTGAAGCTCACTCCCGCAAAGCCCTCGTATTCCGGCAAACAATACTTCGAGGCCAGACTCTCGGCAAACAATCCCTTTTACCCCTCTCTCTCGGCCAAGGTCGGCCACGGGATACTCATGGCGATGGGCGACAACAAGCAAATATCGGCGCAGCAGATGTTTGACGGCTCCTACCGCATCTACCTCGGCTTCTCGGCGCCCGAGGACTTCGCCCGAAGCGGCCCAGCCAGCGCCTCCGGAGACGCGGCGCGCGAATTCTTCCTGTCATCACCCGACTTCTACGCCGACTGGGCCCAAGACTTGAAAGACATCGTGGCCAACTGCGAAGGCGCCTTTCGGCCGTGGCCGCTGTACTATCTGCCGGCCGAGGCGATGGGCTGGCAGCGCGTCGCGGGCGTCACCTTGCTCGGCGATGCGGCTCATGTCTCGACGCCGTTCGTCGGTGAGGGGGTCAACTGCGCAATGTACGACGCCCTCGTGCTGGCAACCAAGATCAAGGAGTGCGGCATGGGCGCGCTGGAGCAGGCCGTCGTGGAGTACGAGAGAGACATGTTTGCTCGCGCAAAGGATCTCATCAAGCGGTGCCATGCGAGCGCGAAGTTGCTTTTTGCGGAAGACGCCCCGAAGGAGCTTGTTAGGGCTCTTGGAGGCGACGGTGAGCGTTTGGTATATGCAGAGAAACGCGCTTGATGGGTCTTCGAGGTCCTTCTTGGATGATTCCAAGGCATGGTCGGTGGCACATAAGAAGCCGTCGTTGTAGGTTCATGGGCTAATAATAAGATCATACCGTCCCACTCCGCCCTATTTAGACTACATGAAATGAAACGTAATGGACAGAACAGCGTGCCAGTGATGGGGCGGCGAGAACCTCTTGTGCCTACTAATGAGGCAAAGAAGGTATATATAATTAATTGCCTAATAAATAGGTCGAAACCTAGTGTTTAACAAGTCCCGACAACAGCTGAAGAGAAAGCAGCCCATCCTCTCACACACGCTCATCATGCGCCGTCACCCCATTCCCAGCAACCCCCTTTTTACCCAGCTCCTCGTTCTCAGCATCAGCAACACGTTGTGCCTCGGCCTCGATGAACTCCTGGGGCCGCTCGCGCTGTGTCAGCTCGGGCTTGCCGCACACGATTAGCGACGGGTTGCGGATGAAGATCTCGTCCATGTCCTCGAGAGTGCGCCGCGACGTCTCTGGGTACAGGCAGAAGACGACGGGGAAGTAGGCCCAGCAGAGGATGACGTAGACTATTTGTTGGGTGGGTGTGTCAGCGCTGAAGATTGGCTCTCTCGTTGTCCCAAGCAAGGCTCGAACTTGACTTACTCAGATAGAATTTCCAGTGGAGGTTGTTGACACCAACTTTTGTGAACTGCGTCACAATAAAGCCGCCCATCCAGTTGGTCGCGGTGGCGGCAGCCGCACCGCGGGTCCGCCAGCCGATAGAATTGACCTCGGAGTTGTACACCCAAGGGACCTTGGCGAAGCTGGTTCCGTAGAAGAAGTAGTACAGGAAGAACATGGCGGTTGTAACTTTGCCGAGCTGCAGGGGGAGAGGAGAAGCGGGAAATTAACACACAGCCTTCGGAAGAGGAGGGAGGGGAAAAGACACTTACAATGCGCTCCCGAGACGGGTCCTTCTCCGCTGCCTTGAGACACATGGATGCGACGAGATAGCAGGAGCCCATGGTCAAAGAGCCGTACAACATCATCCTTGGATGGCATGTCAGCGTATTGGTTCCTGGGGGGGATGGTGGAGGATGAGGCCGGGGTAATGACTCACTTGCGGCGTCCAAACCGATCAATAATCAACAGACAACAGAAGGCAGCGCCAAGATAGATTGTCCCGTTGATACCGGTCATCAGACGGCTCTCCTGCTCATCGAGGCCGACGCTCTGCTGGAGGAGGGTGGGCAGGTAGTAGCCGAGGGCGTTGACACCGCTGAACTGCTGCATGAACTGTGTGCCGCACGATAGCAGCAGCCGCCTGAGGTTCTGGGTCTTGTCCTTGCATTTCAACACGTCCATGACAGGCACGCGGTCGCGGCGCTCGATCTGCACGGCTGACTGGATCGACAGGAACTGGGCTGTGACATCGGGGTCGTGAATGGTCTTGCCCTTGCCCTCGAGACGGGCGATCACCTCAAGGGCCTCTTGGTGGCGGTCCTTGAGCAAGAGCCAGCGGGGAGACTCGGGGGAGAACAGAAGGGCGACGGCGACGACGACGGGGAAGATGAGCTGGAAGCCGAGCGGGAACCTCCACTGCAGGGCGCTTCCCTGGAAGTAGAGGCCGTAGTTCATCCAGTTGGACAGGCAGAAGGCGGCCGTGTTGGCGAGAGAGCCGACGACGACGAGCTTGCCGCGGACGCGAGCGTTGGAGCACTCGGCCTGGTAGACGGGGCAGGTCGCCGACGTCAGGCCCATGCCGAAGCCGTTGATGACGCGGCCGATGATCATCTGTGGAAGGTGCCACGACACGATCTGCAGGATGGCGCCGATAAGGTTGCAGGTCAGGCCGATGGCCACCGACTTCTTGCGGCCGAGCTTGTCACCCATCGTGAAAGCGAAGATGGCTCCGAAGAAGGCTCCGAGCTAAATTGCAGCGTTATGTGTCAGCATGCCTTTATGTTCATTTTCTTTCTCTCATCATTCTACCTGCGAATAGGGGCGGTCATAGGGCGGTACCCACGGAGAAGCAGCTCGAGGTGATGCCCGAGATATTCGGATCGCTGGTCTGGGGGAAATGTTTCTTGAAATCGGCCGAGATCAGGACACCGGAGAAGACACCCTGGTCATAGCCGAACCATGCCATGGAACTGTATCATGCCGCATCGTCAGTGATCTATATACACAACAAACAAAACACACGTGGTGGACAGCAAACTTACCAGGCATTGGCGATGGTGATGACGACAATGAGTGGTGTCCCACTGAGGAGGCCTGAAAGGCCCTTGCCTACTGCCATGCTTCTCGAAGTGACGATATCAAGCTGGCAAAGACTCAAAAGGGAGACGCGGTGGGAGGAGACTCGATGCGTTTTTTTGGCTGGCTGCAAGGCGCTGATCATTCAGGTGGTCTCGTTGAAGGTGAGGAATGATGCAACTCTAAATACTCGTCTCTTCCAAACCTTTGCTTAGACGATATTTAGTTCCAACAGCAGAACCACGCTCCCGGGTAGCACCCACAGTACGACCCTAGTCTAGGTAAGATGCGGAACTCGTTCCCCAGGGGCATTGCGGAGGAGAAAGACGACCGGGGGTGGTTTGACAACCTCGTGGGTCCCCACGGGGAACGCAAAGCCCTTCATGGCATGCCGAATGGGGACCGACTCCGGTAGTCTAGTCTAGTTTTTAGTGAAAGTGCGGCGGGGATAGTCGGCAGACCCGCTCAGAACGATGTATTTTGGTGGCGGTGGGGTTGCCGGCGGGGATGAGCGGCATGTTTGGGCCGAAACCGGCGCTATTGGTTCGCCTGCTGACTCGGCCGGTGATCATTGCCTCGAATCATGGCGCCGTCCTGAGGCTAGCAGGGCGGGATGACACGATATGGGATATGGGTGGTTACGCTACGGCGACTGACAATGGTTCGGTCCCGTCGCCTTGCATGTTGCATGGCCTCTTGCTGGCGGAAGGCGGGAAGAGCCATCCCATGCATGTTTGTTTATCAATCTAGCTGCGACCCCTCACAAGCTTCCCCGCATCGCGTTGTTGACAGACAATTATCCCCTCTTCGACCAGGCGAGCAAACTGAGACTTTCCCTTTTGCTTGTCACTGCATCTTCGCAAGCGAACACACCTACATCGATCAATATGGGCAGCCAGTTTGTTCTGGTGACGGGAGCGACCGGCTTCATCGGCGCTCACATCGTCGACACCCTACTCGCCAAGGGGCTCAGGGTACGGGGGGCAACCCGTTCCCTTGCTAAGGGCGATGCTATGACCAAGGCGCGACCTCAGTATGCTGGCAAACTCGAGTTCGTGAAGATTGATGACTTTGAAAAGCCGGGTGGCTTGGTGGAAGCAGTCGATGGCGTTGACGGAGTGATTCATACAGCGAGTGTAAGTTTGGTCTTGATTTACAACTACACTACACCTGCTAAGACGGAGACTGACACTGGTTGATCCCCATAGCCTTTCACATATGATACCAAGAACAACGAAAAGGAACTCATCATCCCAGCCATCAACGGCGTCCGGGCTATTGTCGAAGCCGCGGCCACAAACCCCAAGATCAAGCGCCTCGTCATCACCTCCTCCTTCGCCTCCGTTCTCGACGTCAACCGCAAGGGGCCCCCATACTTCACCTACACCGGCTCCGACTGGAACCCGCTGACCTACGAGGAAGCCGCCGACCAGGCCACCAGCGCCGTCGTCGCCTACCGGGGATCCAAGAAGTTTGCCGAGCTGGAGGCCTGGAATTTCGTCAAGGACCACAAGCCCACCTTCGACCTCGTCGCCCTGTGCCCGCCCATGACCTTCGGTCCCGTCGTACACCATGTCGAGAGTGTGGACAAGCTAAACGAGTCCAACGCGATGCTCTGGAAGATTGCCAGCGGGGCCGATCCGCTGCCCGTGTCGCGTGTGCCTTTCTGGATCGATGTCCGGGACCTAGCAGCCGCACACGTCGGGGCGCTACTCGACGGGGACGTCGGCGGCAAGAGATACGTCCCTGCTGCGCCGGAGCGGTTCTCGTACGGTCTGGCGGCGAGGATCATGATCGAGGAGTTTCCCGAGCTGGACGGCAAGGTTAAGCAGGAGGATCAGGTCATCGATGACAGCCACGGGTTGGATGGTGAGGCGGCCGCGAAGGAGCTGGGATATCAGTACCACTCGTTCAGGGAGACTGTGAGAGATTTGGTGTCCCAGGCAATGGGCATGAGCAAGGGGCCAGCCCACACAATAGATAATTAGATGACCCATGACGAATAACTATCCATGATTTGATTCATTTGTGTTTCCAAAGGCATAGACTGAATTCAGGTACCACACCTATTGACGTAAAAAATAAAATAAAATAAAACAGTTTATTCACACTGACACGGCATGATCACTCACTCTCGTCCGACTCAAACGTTTCCGTACGGACTGGACCTGACTGTCATCTCCAATGTGGGAGGGGCTCCTTGCAGAGTATGGAGAGGAGGAACTCACTGGTCATTTCTCGATAAGACAGCGCACCAAATTCTCCATTGCTTCCTTCTATCCGCGTACCCGCGTACCCGCGTGAAGGTTTCTGCACTAGGCGAGACGCGTGTGGAATTGCTGTGGTGTGCTCCAACACAAGTCTAGCTCCTTGGGATCCGACCCGATCGGCTTCGAACCGAGGTACAGATACGTACCCCCATTTCCATGAAGAAATTTACATAACCTTCTCCTCATATCTCCACCTTCCCCACCTCCAATCTGCCCCTCGTGCCATGTGAAATGCCGCTAGACAAGGATTCCCCAACCCTATCGGTTGAAGAACATCGTCATCTTTGGAGCTACCCGACGGGTGGAGGCGGCATCTCCGCCCGCCCCCAAATACCCGACCGTATTATAGCAACGAGAAGTCTTGGGTCGACAGAGATAGATGATAGTGTCGTGGCGGATCTTGGAAAAGAATTAGTCCACAGCAGAGTTTTCTTCCATTGTAAATCCTACTTCTCTTGTTCCGTGGCCGAGGTATATCAGCTCTTCAAGCGTGACACAATTAAAGAATTCCCGGCAATAACTCGTCAGGTCTCGCAAGAAAGCACAAGTCCATCTTCATTCTATCATCTAATCCTTATTGAATAACGAAGATGTATCCCGAAACATTCGAAGGATTCGCTATCCCCTCCGCCGATAAGTGGAACAGCCCGAAAAGGTTTGAGGTGAGTGGAAGACATCGACCCATCCGGGTGCCGTCTCGTTTCGCGCAGGGCAGCCTGGAACGAATAATTACGCCTTAGTGACTTTACTAATTACCGTTGCGCAAACCAGTTCAAACCTAAACCCTTCGGCGACCATGACATCGACGTCAAGATCATTGCCTGCGGCGTGTGTGGTTCTGATGTGCACACTGCGACGGGAGGATGGGGCAACAAGATCTGGCCCCTGATTCCCGGCCACGGTGAGTCCGAGATGGAAGACAAAGTCCTGACCGAAATACCATGCATGTACTGATCTAGTTGTTACCCTGCAGAGATCGTCGGTCATGCCGTCAAGGTCGGCCCCAAGGTTACCACCGTAAAGGTAGGTGACCGCGTCGGCGTAGGCGCCCAGATCCACGCCTGCCTCGACTGCGACACCTGCAAGGAAGACAACGAGACATACTGCAAGAAGCAGATGGGTGAGTTAGATCTCCATAGCCACCAACCGCGTCCCGAAATCAATGTTCAGACTTCAGAACTGACTCGTCCGGTCGAATGCACACAGATACCTACGGCTCCGTCTACCCTGACGGCACCGTCGCCCACGGCGGCTACTCGTCCCACATCCGCGCCCACGAGCACTTCACCTTCCCGATCCCCGACGGTCTACAGACCGAGCTCGTCGCGCCCATGCTCTGCGCCGGCCTGACCGCCTACTCGCCTCTTGTGCGCAACGGTGCCGGGCCCGGCAAGAAGGTCGGCATCATCGGAGTGTAAGTTCCCCTCCCTCACTCCCCAGTCTACCCACCATTTCCCCCATCCTTCTCACGCTCACACACACGGCACAGCGGCGGCATCGGCCACTTCGGCATTCTCTTCGCCAAGGCGCTCGGCGCGACCACATACGCCATCTCGCGCTCGCGGGCCAAGGAGGCCGACGCCAAGGCCATGGGCGCCGACGGATTCCTCGCGACCAAGGAGGCCGGGTGGGCGACGGCGCACGAGATGACCTTCGACATGATCCTGTGCACCGCGTCATCGGATGACGGGTTCGACCTCGCGCCTTACCTGTCGCTGCTGAAGGTGCACGGGCGGTTTGTGGGTGTCGGGCTGCCCGAGGGCAGTTCCGGATGGCAGGTGAAGCCGCAGAGCCTGTTGGCGAATGGGTGTCTTGTTGGGAGCAGCCATTTGGGGAGCCGCAAGGAGACGCTTGAGATGTTGAGGTTGGCCGAGGAGAAGGGAATCAAGAGCTGGGTTGAGACGATCCCTGTCGGGGAGGAGGGCGTTGGGAAGGCGTTGGAGAGGTTGCACAACGGGGATGTGAGATACCGGTTTACGCTTGTTGACTATGAGAAGCAGTTCAAGTAGAAGGTGTGCTTTGTGTTTTTCCTTTTTCATGCATGGACTGGCGGTACGGACGGGTGGGTAAATAGGTACATAGGCAAACAGACATGATGACCACGATACTGATATCTGTCCCATGAATGTATAATTCTTTAATAATATTGCCGTCATACTTCAAACTGAAGTCAAAACGGTGCCTTGGAGCTGTGCGTAGGATAGGCCCTGTAACTGACTCCCAGATGACCATGTTATTACTTCCACCCTCAAATTATACCTCCGGCGCACCTGGAGTACTTCGGCTGGCTACCGAGCAGGTGGGAGGGGAAAAGAAGGAAGCTGATATGGTAGCAACATATTGGATAGGTATCTTGAATTCCCGTCTACTACGGACTAATTAGTATCTTTAACTCCAAAATCCTCCAGCCCCTCCTCAAGCTCCATCATCCACCTAATATCACCAAACAACTGCGCCCTTGCCTCCTCACCCAGCGCCGGCATAGGCCCCCTTGGCACCCCACCATACCCGCACCACTCCTCAAGTATGGCCTTGAATCCCGGTATCGCCCGCTTCGTGAGCTCCCAGTCCGCCCTAGCGAGCTGCAGCTGCGCCCTCATGGCCTCCTCCCTGCGGCCCTGCACGGCGAGCCTGTACACGTTGACGCACGCGCGGGGGAACACGTTGGCCGCGCCCACGATCGCCCCGCTGCTGCCCACCTCCACCGCAGGGGCGATGAAGTCCGCCACACCCGAGAACGCAAAGTACCCAGGGCGGCTGCCGCTGCTCGACTCCGAGGCGAAGGCCTCCGACACGGGGGATGTCGCCTCCGCCACGCGGGCGAGCTTCCCGACGCTGCCGCAGGTGAACTTGGTCCCGACGATGTTTGGGTGACGGGCCAGTCTGATCAGGACGTCTGAGTCGAGGTCTATGCCCGCCACGGCAGCGGGGTAATTGTAGATGACGACGGGGAGTGGGCTACCGTCCGCGACGGCGAGGAAGAACCTCTCAATGGTCGGCGCATCCATGGCCCACTTGAAGAAGCTGGGGACCATGAGCAATACGGCGTCGCCGCCGGCGGTGGCTGCGTCGCGGCAGAGGCGCAGCGTGCCGTGGATGGACTGGTCTGACGCGCCGACGATGACGGGCATGTCGGCGAAGCCGGCGGCGTCGAGGGCTGTGCGGGTCGCGTGCGTGACCTCGGCGCGCTCCTCGGTGCTCAGGTAGACGGCCTCGCCGTTGGAGCCGTTGGTGACGATGCCCGCGACGCCCGCCCGCGCCATGCGGACGGCGTGCTTGCCGATCGTCGCGCGGTCGAGCTGCTCATCGCGCCCGTCGGCGTAGAAGACCTGCGTGGGCGCGTAGATGCCGGGGCGTAATGATCTGGTCATTGTGGGTGGTGGCGATGGGGGAGGTATTCTTCGTCTGTTTGGAGTGCGTCGGAAGAGTCACGACCCAGCTGTGTTATGAGACGGAAAAGTCTAGGTAATTGGAAACCTCTGCTTCTTCCTCTGCCTCGGCCTCTGACGCGAGGGACAAATGCCGAGCCGAGACCATTCTGCCAACATATACTATACACTCCTCGTACTCCATCATCCGCCTCACCCCGACATATGCCATCTGGTGATGCGGAGCTGGGTGAGGGTGGAACCTTTTAGCGCCCTTGATGGAGACGAGATCACTAGCTTGGTCCGGATCAGTGGGTCTGAGGCAAAAAAGTAGCGGCGGGGGGAGGCGGCAGCTCCACGCTCAAGTGGAGGGTGCGGGGGGGAGCGGCAACCCCGGTCTGCTCGGGATTGTATTATTCGGGCCCCTCAGGGGGGTTGTCCCCACGTGTTGGGGGCCAGGGTCGTCCTATGTTGGGGAAAACACAGATGACATATCAAGGGAGAATCTGCCCAAGCTTCCCTCGTCTCTGTCAATTATAACCCGACTTTGTTACTGTATTGATCCTTTACACTTTTCCTAGAGTCCAGTCGAATCAGTCTCACATCTTCAAACGCAACCATGGGCTCCGTATCAGCTGGGCTCACCGAGCACGATGTCACCATCACCGCCTTCGAGGTCATAGACCTGCGGTTTCCCACCAGTTTGGATGGAGTCGGCTCTGACGCCATGCACGTGGGCACCAACGGCTCCCACCCTTACATCCAGCTTAAGACGAACCACGGAGAGCTGATCGGCGAGGGTATTGTAAGTTTAGCATTTCCCCCCTCTTGCATTTTCCCAAATCCCTCGGCCTGTTCTGAACCCTCAGCTAACCATATCGCAGGCCTTCAGCAACGGACGAGGCAGCGAGCTGATCTGCCTGGCGCTCGACATCTTCGCGCGCCGCGTCGTCGGCAAGACGATGCACGAGCTGACCCGCAACATGGGCAAGACCTGGCGGTACATGGTGTCCGACTCGCAATACCGATGGATCGGCCCCGAGAAGAGCGTCACCCACCTGGCCGTCGCCGGCGTGCTGAACGCCGTCTGGGATCTGTGGGGCAAGATCCTGGGCAAGCCCGTGTGGCAGATCGTCTGCGACATGACTCCCGAGGAGGTCGTGAGGTGTATCGACTTCCGGTATATCACCGATGTCATCACCCCCGAGGAGGGTATCGAGATGCTCCAGAAGACGCAGAAGGGCAAGGAGGACCGTCTGGCCGAGGCTCTTGAGAACAGAGCCGTGCCGGCCTATACCACATCTCCCGGATGGCTGGCCTTCTCCGGCGACCGCATGAAGGAGGTGTTGGAGGAGACCATCGCCGAGGGCTACACCGTCTTCAAGTTCAAGGTCGGCACCAGCATTGAGGCCGACCGGGAGAGGCTGTCCGCCGTCAGGGCGGTTCTCGGATACGACAAGGGCCATCAGATTATGATCGATGCGAACCAGGTGTGGAGTGTCCCCCAGGCCATCGAATACATGAAACACCTCGTCGAGTTCAAGCCCGTCTTCATTGAGGAGCCCACCAACCCCGATGATGTCCTCGGCCATGCCGCAATCCGCAAAGCACTCAAGCCGTACGGCGTGGGCGTGGCCACGGGCGAGGCCGCACAGAACCGCGTGACGTTCAAGCAGTTGCTCCAAGCCGAAGCTACAGATGTCTGCCAGATTGATGCTGTTCGGCTGGGCAGCGTCAACGAGTGCCTGGTGAGTCGCCGAGTCCCCTCCCCCGTCCCTTACTTTCGTCGTGGCCCGCAACCAGCTAACCACACCCTTTCCCTCTCCAGGCGGTCATGCTCATGGCGCTCAAGTTCGACGTTCCCTGCGTGCCGCACAACGGTGCTATGGGCCTCACCGAGCTGACCTCCCATCTGAGCACCATCGACTACATTGCCGTCAGCGGGCGGAAGTCGATGCTCGAGAATGCCGACAGCCATCGCGAGAACCTGCGTCATCCTTCCAAGATCGAAAATGCCCACTACGTCACCCCGCTTGCCCCTGGTTATTCCACTGGCTATACCGACGAAGCATTGGAGAAGTACACTTACCCGAATGGAAGTTTCTGGAGCAGCGAGATCGGGCTGCAAATTATCGCGCAGCCCACCGGAGGAGAGTTGTAGGATCGTGAGGATTGGTGCATTAGTGCTTAGAGGTATTCACATATGGCGTTATGGGTGAAGCTAGGTTATTAGTTCTTGGGGCCACGCATGACTTAGAAGGTGGTATAGCAGTACAAGTATGTCATTTGCCTAGCACCAAGCACCCTAGACACGGGATAGAATTCGTTGTTTCCTTCGCATGTCCTCCAGAATCGAGACGACTGCTTCAAGACTCGAGGATGCCCAGGGTCGAATGTTTTCAATTGCCACGCTCTGCAGTTCGTCAATGTCGGGCACCATGTGTCTCAAGTCGGGGCTAAGTGAAGCCAAAGTGAGAACCACAACAGCACCAAGTGATCTAGATCAAGTGCGTTAGAATCTCGGAGTTACGAGTTGAGATGGAGGAAGTGGATCACATACGATAAGGCGAAAGTCCAAGTGTACTGGCTTGGTTTCGCCAAGATCTGGGTGGTATTGTGGATGTAATACCTGCAGCTCTCGATGCACATGCTGGCTTTGTCGAAAATGGACTCAGATGCGCGCTCCAGGCCGTGGGTGGCGATGTAAAGCACAAAGGGCCGATATATGATGTGCCGCGCCGCAAAATATCGGATGCGCAGTATCGCCTCGCGGTCGTTGGATTCGATGGCGGGAGACGCAACGCTGAGCATCGGTCGGAAGGCCTCGGGAATCGAGGCATGCCATGTCTCGAGTTGTGCGTGCAGTTCATCGCAGACGACCATCATGGAGGAAATCTCGTCGATGGAGAAGTCGTCTGGCGCCATAAGCGTGGTGGAGGAGAGGGTGAGCACGTGCTTCTTGCTCGGGTAGAGGGAGTTGTGAATGCGGTTGAGCAGCCTCCGAATCGAAATTTCGGCGAGGTAGCATGTTGACTGCATGAGGCCGAGATTGGTGCAGGTCGGGAGGCTGATCTCGTCGGTCAATTGTTGCAGTCCACTTCGCGGCAGTTCGAGCTCAGCGAGCCGGTCACATTCCACAAGAAAACAAGACCAGAAAAGACGGATGATGCTCTCCAGTGAATTCGGCCCCTCTTCTCGGGTGTCAATCCTGCCGAGGAGTGAGTGGTCAGCAACTGCCACGCCTATTGGGGGCCCCCTTCTGAACATACCCGGAGAGCTTAAACTGGAGTATTGTAGATGCTGAATAGATCAGGCGCCAGCTCTGGAGAGGCCGGACAATGTAGGCAAAGTAAACACTAGCCAAGACGAGAGCCTGGGGCAATAGTAAACTGAACGAGAACGACCAGGACGAGAGAGCGATGATAGTGGGCATGGCATGCTGCATATACCGCATGCCAGGGGGTGATGTGCTAAAGTTGGGCGGGTTGGGTGGCGATGCGGCAATCTCTCCGAGGGCAAAGGCAACCATGCAGAGCGCGGATTCAATGCTCGAGTCCGGTCCTGTCTCCAAGAACCGAGAGTATATCTCGTTGAACTCATCGCGGTCTAATATGGGATGGTTGTGATGCGCTGTTGAGAAAAATGTGTCCACGAGCCTATCGGTGACATCTCGTCGGATCTCGACTGGGGGCTGCGACGTCGGCCAGGTGTCGAACGACAGCTCGGGAGGAAGGGGGTTCTTGGACTCCAACAAGAAGAACAAGTCGGTCGGGTACTCCCCAATCAAGGCCTTCATCGACGGTAAGCTCAGCAGATAGCTAGACGATGTCTTGTGTTTGACGGGGATGGTCAGCGGCGGCAGGTTTGGAAACTCTGATTGGGCATCCATGCTGGAGAAGGACCAGGGCGTGAAAGGAACTCCGGCGCCCCCGATACCCCCGACGCCTGGCTGGAGACCAGTCACAGGCACCGACGTATGGCTTTGAGGCGACGTCTCGCTCTGCATATGAGATGAGGGCGCACGGAAGTCCGAGGAAAGGGCTGCTATTTTCTCAGACTGAGTCTCCAGCACGGCCTCAATGTCCCGGAGCCGATTGAGGATTTCCCGGCTGCCGCCGGAGGTGTCGATTCTGGAGATAATTAGCGAATGACCATCACCGCAAGGACCGACAAAGAGGAACAAACCTCTGAGCTGGTAACTCATCATAATGACACTCGGCATCGAGCTCAATACAGGTTGAACAGGATGGTTTACGTGCGTCGCACCGGCGTTTTCTGGTCCGAGTCAGCTGATGTCGTCCAATTTGAAAGCAAGCTCACAGGAAAGGAAGGCAGGTGAAAGGAAGGTAGGGCCCTTGACTCACCGGCTTCGACAAAAGTTACAAGCCAATGCGACTCGCTTCCTGTTGAAGCTCATACTTGGACTGGAATTCAGGGGCTGTTGACCTGCAGAGCCAGGAATATCCAAAAGTTGGAGGCCGGACTGCATTGTTACAAGGGTTTTTTCTGCCAAGGGACTAGTGCGGTGTCAGCTGACCTGGGGTATGGGGATGGATGCCTGCGACTTTCACGTGCGGGACCTCGGGGGTGAGGTGTGGGGCGCAAAGGAAATGACCTCATAACGATGCTGGCTATCAAACCCGCATTCTGGCTCATTGGGATTCAAGATGGTCATCCTTAAGCTTAATTGCTAAAGAACACTACCTAAGTTTTGGTCCTCGAAACCTCAAGGAGAGGTAATTGGCCATCGATACTTATTGGTCCTCTCCCCAAACGTGATTGCCGTTAGTTCCCCTGCTGCCGGATCCTTAGCTTGTGGGGTTCTTCTGCGAGGGGGCCTTTCGGCCGGCAATTCGGTTCTTGGTTTCGTGGCTCTGTCCCTCAAAACCGCCCGTCGTCCCGTCACATTATCGCCATGGGATTCGACGCGCAGGCTCAAGCCATTCCCTTATCCCGTCGCCCATAATCAAAATATAGAAAAATGTCGAAACTTTCTCCGTCGCTAAAAGCCCTCATCAACGCGTCATTTTCTCGTCCCGGTCCCCGCCCCGCGCCGAGGCACATTGCCGACGTTTACCAATCCATTGCTCGCGATGCCTCTCAGAAAAATCTTGGAGTGCGCTCCTGGCTAGTAATTGCTGTGAGCAGATATTGCCCAATCCATCAGATCCAGTATCCCGCGCCTCTCCCCCCTTGCTGACCTGAATGGTGATAGGCCGCCGCAACCTTCACGCTCAATTCCCCCGACTCATTACCGGCGCTCCACCGCGTCGCATCGGCCGCACACGGGGCCAAAGGCGGTGACGTCCGCACCGCCGAGTTTATCCGCGAGATCGGTCTCAAATGCATCAGCTTCAACGGCATCCCGCGCACAATCAACTGCCTAAACGCCTTCCACGCCTCTCTCAGCCCAGACGTCGCCTCGGCGCTCTCTACATCGCCGAGCCGAACCCCAACAGCCCAGAACCTGGGCGACATCACCTCTCGGGGCCGCTCGCTCTGGGACTCCATCTACGCGCCCTTCGAGACCAAGCTGTACGAGAAGCTGGCGCAGTCTCACCCGGACCTGCCCGTGCACATCCTGAACAGCCACTACGGCCCGCTGCTGGCCGACCCGCCCGCCGCGGAGCGGGGTTCGCTGGCCGGCATCGGGAGGGTGCTGACCTCGGTGGTGGCCATCTCGTGCCTGCGGGCGCAGACCGGTGTTGGTCCGCAGGTGCTCTCGCACGTCTTTGGGCTGAGGAAGGCCGTCGAGGATGGCACCTATCGCGGCGACAGGGAGGTCGAGGACGTCAAGGCGGCCGAGTGGTTGGCCACTGATAGCGGGAGCGAGTGGATCTTGAACACGGTCGACCGGGTTGTTGAGGCCATTGGCGGAAGCAGCTTCGCGCCTGGTAGAGTTGAGTCGAAGCTCTAAGACCGTTCTGGTCACCGTTACCATTTTTAAGCATTTAACCCCGCATGAACGGTCACAACAAAGAGTCTGAATCCAATACGCAGGACATGGGCCCTGGTAGTTTAGGTATCATAAACTAGATAGCGAGGTGGCTGGCCGAAAGTAGCCCGCTTCCATAGATCTTGAGGTTATCATCATTTCTAATTATCAAGTACAATATCACCAACTGCCATGCAAGAGAGGCACCCGCAACGACATCTAGTTCCTTCTATGCGCGGATAGGAGAACCAATTTGCCCTGACCACCCAGAAATGTCTTACAACATCCCTGGGGAGGGCTTTTTGGGATGCCTGGGAGCCCTTCAGGATTAGGAAGGCATTGCCGGCGGGGGTGGAGATAAGTGCGGATCCATTGTCATGAACCCAAACTGTCCAGCAGGCAAAAATAAGACAGGACGGAAGAAGAAAGCGAAGGAAAGGGGGAAGAAAGCGAGAGAGCAGACTGGAGAATAGGGGAGGACCAGCTGAAGGAACTCCTCGAGACTGTTGCATCTCTGTCTATCTAGGGTGAGGTTTACGTCGAATCCGGTACAAACATGATGATATATAGAAGAGGACTTGCGTGCCTATGCTCGTGTTTCGTCTTTGCTTGTGAACGAGCCAAACCTCTCCGCCGTGCTGGAGAAGCATGCTCTCTCCCCGATGAGCGCCCTTACACGGTCACACTCGTCAACCCAAGGTTGTGGAAGAGTGTCAACGAATCCCCCGCGATGTCGGCCTCGTCGGCCAAGCCGGTGCACTCGTTGAGAATCAAGAAGTCAGTGCCGTTGTAGGTGACCGGCTCTCCCTCCTTGAGGGTCCTTGAGATAGGGGATTTCCCCCTTCGTTAGCTTGACGCCCTGCAAGAACCAATACCCTCTTCAGTGCCGTACGAATCGATACTGCTCCCACCCGGAGCGAGACTGCTCGACGAAGTCGCAGAACTCCTCCGACGTGCCCACTTCGACGGGTTCGCTGCCCTCACCCGTCTGGGATGGAAACCGGTCGATGTACAGGGTCACCCCTGGGGAGAAGGTGGCGTTCAGGAGGGTCAGGTCGCCATTCCAGACGTTGAGGTAGTTGGCCGCGATGTGCTCGTGGTACTCTCGGGTGGCAACATCGTGTCTACAGCAGGACGATGTGGCGGCAGAGGGGGCAAGGGCGGAGAGGAGGAGAAGGAGGGTGCTGGTGGAGACTGATGGGGATGAACATGGTGATGGTAAGGCGCGAGGGGGGCGGTTGCAACGAGACGACTGAGAGTTGTGCAGCGGCAAAATGTGTCGAGATGTTGCTGTCTAAGTTGTTGACTTGTAGTTTTGATATTCGCAGAAATCGTCTTCGTATTTATAACCTATCCCCATCCGGCCAGCATCCGCCAACTTGAGGCGATGTTGACGATGAGTGAGAAGATCGAAGATCGGCATTGTCGATCCTCCCGGCTGCCCTACCAATTTTCGCCTGCAGGGATTCTCCGATTCCCCACACGGCAGAGGGCTGATCCCATGGCTGATCTTGGCATATATGCACATCGCGCCAAATGCATCTCCTTTGGGATTAGCGTCCGCGGTGTCCGAGGCTTATCCCGCGATGGTTGAGCACATAAGCATCCCCCACTTGCTTGGTAGACGTCAATCGCATCTGAATGAGCAGAACTCTTCTACAGCACTCTCCGTTCTTGATACAGCCCATATCGCCGTTTATAATATCAGAAATTAGACATGGTTGGCGTGCCGGGTCGATCAAAGGCGTGTATAACATGCCGGAAGCGGAAGAAAGGCGTTAGTTATTCTCATCATCCCTCGTCACCATTTGGCTGGCCTTCGCTGCTTGGCAAGGGTGTTATTTACTACCTACATATGCTAACACTGGAACGAACCAAGTGTGACTTACAGAGACCCTCCTGTGGGCAATGCCGGAAAGCTTGCATCCCTTGTGGGGGGTACGCCAGAGAACGCAAGTTCGTCAACACAACCCTGCAGAGGTCGGGTGTGGTGCTTTCCCCGTCATTGGCCAGTTCGGCATACCAGGTGAAGTGTCTAGACCTGTTCTGGGGCATCCACCTGCCCAATGGCTGGTCTATCCCATCCGAAGCGACGAAACAGGCGCTTGGGGGGAGCTGGTTTGACACGGTTCAGCATCTGTGCCCTGCAGATGATATTCTCCGGAAGGCCGCTCTCGCCATCTCTCTGAACACTATTGGGAGTATGGACGGCAATAAGGGCATGAGAGATGAGGGGTTGAGATTTTATGCAGAGGCACTGAAGGAGTCGGCCGTGGCCTTGAGTTCCCGCCAGTGGAAGATGCGGGGGGATGCTCTGCTCGCCGCGGCGAGGCTGTTCAGTCTATACGAGGCGAGTAGCGAGTGGGGGGGGCCTAATTTAAAGGCTGACCTGCAATGTAACTGTCATCCATGCTAACCCCTGCATTAGGGCATGCGCGGTTCAGATGAAGAAGACGTCCCGATTCAGATTCGAAGTTGGCTAGCACATAGCAAGGGGGACATGGCCATTGTTGCGGCCAGGTCGCCAGAGAGCTATGCGACAGGACACGCGCATCGATTGTTTACAGATGGGAGGTGGTACTTGGTAAGCAATCTCTCTTCATTTCGTTCCTTCTCCTCTCCCCCCACCCCCCTCTCTCCCTCCTCTCTGTCACTTTTTATGCGTCTACTAATTGTAGTCTTTGTCTAATTACAGGCAACCGTGGCTCTCAGAACAAGGAAGAGGTTGTTTCTGTCGGATCCAGCATGGAAGACTCTTCCCTGGAGCCAGCATGATAAAAGCCCCAGAGACTACCTACTGGACATACTTGTCGACATTCCTTCGCTATTTAAGGAACTCGACACCATGGGGTCCTACAGCAACCCGACTGAGGAGGAGAGACTCAGAAGACGGATCTGGAAGGGATATCTGCGACTCGATCGGCTCCTCGTTGACTGGCACGCTACCCACGCTCCCTCAGAAGCCATGTCGCCGTGGCATCTCGACCGAGTTGAGATACCGCAGTCTATTACCCCTGTCAGTCTTGCCGCAGCCCACCTCATGACTCTGTATTGGACAACCTCGATTGTTCTCTACAGTCTGGTCAGAGATGTCTTCCTGTTCGCCACTTCCAATAGCAATCAACCCCCCCTGCAGGAAGACGACAGATCCGCAGACAATGACCCCAACATCTCGTGTCGGAACCTCATCCGGACTATTCCCATCTTCTTCCATCCAGACGCGGGAACCTACCGAGTCCACCTCGCCACTTTCCCCATCAGTGTCGCGCTAGTTTATTTAAGCCGCATGGTCAAGCCGGGGGAGATGCTCGTGGAGCGGGAACTATTCGACTCGTGCCTGCGCAAGCCCGAGTGCGCCACAATAAGGAAGTTCCTGGCCAGTATGCGATCAGAGAAGGCCTGGGGGGTGTATGATGTGTATCAGGAATCTCAAGTGGAAGGAAGTACACGGTTAGACCTGCTCTAAGCTGTGAAATGAGGCCTCCTTACATAACCTAGGGAGAGCTGCAGCCTGCAGGGGCGCGGGGCTTGGAGTACTCAACAACCCTCCCGGTTGGATTCCTTCTTTTCTTTCCTTTTCAGTACGCTTGAAATGAGTACGCTTGAAATGAGGATTGCGTTGCCCACAACCACTCTCGATAAAGTGTCGCTATCTCCTTCGCCTCCATTGATTCCCAAGATGCAATTAAGCTACAGCTGGGAATTCACTTTCCCCTCATTTCCACAGTCGTTGCAACGCCTTAGTGTGCCGCCCTCTCTTCCTCCTCCTCCTCCTCCGCCGCCTGCTCGATATAGCTCTGAACAAGAGGATGGTCACGTTTCTCATCCAAGAACTCTCTGGGCAGCGGCTGGTACTTATCAGACCCGATCCATCGCAAGCACAACCACTCGAGTTCCCCTTCCTGGTGACAATCATGAAGCCAGCTCTGCGGCACCCACCCGCCAAATGTATCCGAAATCCAGCTGCCCCAATAGTGCTGAACAGGCGAGACAGGTTTGGGATCTTGGCCCCAGAGCTCCAGACGTCTGCGACCCCATTCGCAACGCCTATACACAATCGCAGTGCAGAAGTCAAAGAGGACGACATGGCTTGGCGACAAGCGCGAGACTAGCACGTCCCTCAGGCTTGTGTACTTGTGCACTACCCCGGCGTGGAACAGCGCGACTTCAGTCTCAATCACGGTCGCTAGTACGTTGAGACGCTCTGGCTCTGGAGGAAGCAGCTGGTAGTCGACTTCAGACAGGTCAATCGAGCCGTCCCCATTAGGCCAGGCACCTGCGTGGAGGACAGTGTCGTACAGGGTTTTGCCATTGATGAATTCGAGGAGGATCATGCGCACTGGACGGAAAGGAGTGTTGGATGATGGACTGCATTCTAGGGAGAAAGTCCACGAGCCGAAGTACTCAGGGACTGCAGTTCCCTGAAGCTTGGATGGGATGTCTTCATAGGCGGCAGCTTCGCAGCTATAGTCTTTGTCTGCAAGATACATGCAGTCAAAGCCCTGAAAGTCGGAGAGAGGATAGTAGACACCGTCGTAAATCTTGGCTACATAGTGGACCGACTGGTCAGAGTCCATATAGCAGCGCAGCACACGCGGACCACCACGCTTGAGCCGCCGTCGTTTGCCCAGGTCCTCGATGATTGTGAGCACGTGGGACTCGGCTTGTTCAAGGTGAGGGGGCTCCGTCTCGAGTGGAGGATGCGAGATGGCAAACGCCGTGCGGTCAACCTGGTCATTTTCAAGACCTCGAATCGGCTTTCGGATGCATTCCGCGTTCTTGTAGCCCCTCCCAAACGGGTCCGGGGGGGTATGCCTCTCAATAGCGAGCTGTACGCCTGGCCGGTACGACGGCACTGGTTGCTGTTTTTCGGCCATTGCGGTTGAGATTATTTGTGAGCGGCATGCGAGAGCTATCCAGTCGAGGAAGATTCCGGGGTCAAGCTACGCACGGTACTGTACCTAGGCAAAGATAACGCATGTGCAATCACCGCGTAAACTAATAATCCGCAACCAATCAGAAATGGAATCCTCCCAAATATTAACTTGTGCCACCGGGACGAACAAACTTGCGCCTGTCTTAGAGACTAGCGTTGAGACTATCCAAGTTTACAGACGGCAGCTTCAACACTCGCAGAGCATTCCCACCCATAAAGCTCTTAACAACCCTTTCCCTCAACCCGTCCTTAGTTCCAACAAGGTGGGCGTTGGCATTGTGCACGCATGCCTTCCATCCGAGCTGTGGAAAGTTGGTCCCAAACATGACTTTCTCTCTGCCTGTCGTGTTGGCAAAATTTATAAACTCCGGGACATAGTACTTTGGAGACCACGCGCTGGTTTCGATGTATACATTATTGTGCTTCCAAGCAACCGCAACTGTCTCAGCAGCCGAAGGATCCTATATGTCCCATGATGATCTTGGAGTCGGCAAATTTGAGCGCCATGGTGTCGATGTATGGGATGGGCGGCCGACCTCACTAGGGCAGGTAGGAGCGGTGTGTCCCACTTGTGTCAGGAACGGGATGTCGAGCTCGATGCACTTGACGAAGAGCGGCCAGTAGTGAGGGTTGGTTGGAGGGAGGTTCCATTGCCGTGGGACAACGCGCAGTCCCACGAATCCTTCGACCTTGACGTAGTGCTCCAGCTCTCGTACTGCCTCCACCGGCTTGTGAAGATCGACGGCGGCGAGACCGAAGACTCGATCCAGGTAGGCGCGAGTATACCAGGCAACCTCGGCGTTCGAGAAGATCATCTGTCCTGGGCGGCTCCAGGCGGAAAGACAAATATGTGAAATGCCACCTTCGTCCATCAAAGCAATCACTTCGTCAGGGATCGGGGTTCGTTGGTAATCCCAGGGTCAGAATAGCTGTAGGCAAATAGTCGAGCAACTTCTGGGATAGCAGCACCCAACTACTTGGTTCGTCAGAATTCTTGTGGGCAAGACAAGACTGGGATTTCTTACACCGGGGAGGTTTGCCCAGACATCAACAGTGGGATACTGAAACTTCTTTGCCGTCATCGTGTTGCTGACTTAGTTTCCGGTCCTTCGAAACCTTTGATATTCAAGGGTAATGACTGAGTCCTCTTTTGAGAGGCAATTCGACTTGTATTTAATATTCCGCCCGGACGTGTATTGCAGCTGCCGTCAGCTGCGACCCGATGTTTGCCGGAGGAGATCGGCTAATAATCATGGGGCGCCACCTACAACACCGGACTTCTTCTCTACTCCAATCCCGAATCGGTTCGGCTGGAGCGGCTATCTTCGCGTCATTTGCAACGGCAGCACCTTGGTTGGCAGCAGCGTATCCTGCAATGAATTGTTGCCGATGTGGAAGGCTGAGTTGGCCGCGAAACTCAGCAATCTTGGGACCATAATTATTGCACATGAAGACCAGATCACGGTAGTCAGACTCTCCGTTTCGAGCAAATAAGGACCCAAGTTCGCTTTGGAAATGCCTCAGCACGTCGAGCACCACGTACCACCTCTCACCCATTGGGGTCTGAACGGTGATGATTTCCGTGCGGCCTTGCAAATTCGGGAGCCCCGAGCAACCCTAAAAACTTGTTAGTCTGGTTCGAATAAACTGGATATGGGCATCCGATGCTTACCGAGGAGAATTATATCCACTTGTACCCAAGCCTCTCTGACGTTCTCATTATGCTTGGGTCCTACTTCGACAAATACTCTCATTATGCCTGCTGTCGGTCCAACTGGCATTTTCAGGCTAGACAGTTTGTCAGTTATAGGAATTAATAAACAGACCAGAAACATGACCTCGGAGAACGTGGACAACATACCGGGACTGTCCTTTGCAAATGGTCCTGAGTGTCGACAAGTCACAAGAGGCAGATGTATCAACATCATGAGTCTCTCGGTCGGACCCGAGCAAATTCAAGGCGAGACCTCCCATTCCTGCGTATAGGATCTAGTTGTATTAAATGGCTGAAACCTAGAATGCACTAATTATGTAAGTAATTGAACGTGCGCAGCAAGAGGAAGCGTATCAGGGTGGAGATGCCTGGCGAGCTGTATAACACGAGGTTTTACGCAAAAGGTCGAGTGGATCCCAGGCTGAGGAACAGATACGTAGTGTAGCTAAACAACCTTGCTATCCAGGAAGATCGGATACTTACTTATATGCCTTTGGTGTCGATCTGTTGGAGATAAAATAGCATAAACTCTTGGCAAAACACAGTCTATCCGGTAGGTGCAATTAAGAAGTAGTTAAGGCTCTCTTGAAAGGACTTGAGATTACATTTTATTTAGCCTTGCATATCCTTTGCAACGACCAGATCGAGCTGGTTGGCAGCTTGGGTAAGATTTTATTTGACTAAATCGCTATGGGGTTTGTCCTTAGGCGAATGTTTGACTGCTTTCTTTACCTCTCTGATGTCGTCGGTCTGCTTCAAAACCTTTCTGTCACGGATAGCTTCCGTCAGCAATCTAGTGATCCCAGAGGTAATAGCAATTTCTCCTCACCTTAATATGACAGTTAACTCTATCGCCGCAAAGTGTTGCTTGTGGCTGTCTAATCTCCCCATCTGCGCTGTCATGCTGCTCGCCGCATACCACCAATTGATGCGCGTCCACGTTGATGCGGTCCACGCGCTCTTCTCATCCGATAGATCCGTATTGCCGATGCCGCACCGGTCTTTAAAGTTGTCCAGATCTTGCTGAATTTTCGAATACGTCCTCCTGAACGTGTCCATGGCGTCCCGTAGCCTCCTGGCGTCCTGATCGCCCCGCGCTGTGAGGAGGTCCTTGTAGTATTCGATTTCCTTGATGTGGTCCTCGGTCTCGGCCAGCACCCTGGCACAATACCTGATCTCGTTCTCCGCGCCTCGAGTCATGGCGAAGAACACAGCCAAATACGCGAATACTCCGAGAGCAAAGGTCAGGATGCCAAGTACGTTGCCCGTTGTCGAGAGAGGGCTGTCGCCGCAATTGGGGTAGACGTTTTGAGGTGCGTCGTCCATCGGAACTCTAGTTGACTATCAAGATGAAAAATCTCCGGGGCTGGGATTTTCAATGAAAGGCGAGAATAACTCCTTTGGACCTAGACAGTGTGGAGATCGTGGAGATCTTCAATAATAAAATATCTTTGATTGTGCCGCCGCATATGCAAGCTGAGATGAGCAATCCGGACCATAATTATTCCCCACCCCGGTGCATGTTATTGCTACAGCTATTGTCCAGGGGTAAGCCAAGCTCGCCAAGGTTTTAAAATGGAGGAAGATTCGAGATTCCCTTCTAAACTCCCCGCCCCCCCGAACAACAATTAACATAAGGCAACACAACAGTCAAGGCCCATAATTTCAGGGATAAGTGTCGTCAAAATGCAGGTCAATGGAATAGCAGACGGGCGAAGGGAACATGGACTCAGCTAATTATGGGCCAGATAATGAAGGACCAGTTAAAGGACCAGTCTTACGACGCGATTTCGCTGGCGCATTCCTCGCGGAGCTTCGCATGTCCAATCTACAATTGACTGACGACAACATGTATAGCGACGGCCTTATCCGCAACCATGGCGATGGTCTCACCGACAACTATGGCGACTATCTCGGCATACCCGAACTCCTGGAGATCACGTTCCACCGGTCGACACGAGTCCCAGATCATGAAAAGATTCAACACCAGACAGTCAATGTGCCCGTTCGCTCGGATGCATGTAAGCTCGTGAAATGGAAGAATACACCCAGAGACGAAGATGAATATCTCTTGGTTCTAGACCGTGCGTTTCGCCTTCTGCTCCTAATAATTAACACATGATTATCATAGGCCACCGACTAATAAGCACCGTAGAATGGGACGGCCTGGCTATCCGCGCCGTCATGCCAACGGCGCAGCTGGCGTTCAAGCTCACCATTAGGGTCGGCGGTGTGAACGTGGCGGCACCCACCGACGAGCTAGGGCCGCAGGATTACTTCGTGTTACCGAGATCCAAGTGCGAGCACGACTGCTGGTTGCATTGTCGGGAGCTGTGGCAGTGCAACAGCGAGTGCCAGTGCACAAGGGAGCCATCAACACAGCGATGCACGACGGACTGTAGGTGCAGGCCGGAATCGAGGGAGATGTGGATTGACGGCGTCGCCGACCAGAAGGGCGAGCACCGTCTCGTGCGGCAGTTTGTGACGCTGCCGGATGAACTGAACGGGTAAGTGCGTCCTTTTGACCATCAGCGGCTTGAGCTTGCTTGACAGGGACCCGGAGCTCATACCATTCTGTCACTGCCCCGTTTCTAACATATTGGCATGTGTGATGCCCGCGGGTATGAAGGGCGTCAATTGAACAGCAGGTGACGGGCTGTAACGTTAGGGGCGGTATCGACATCCAGGTCACCATGGGTTGCGTCAAGGACCCGCCCAGCCCGTACGAGGGACTCATGCGCCCAGTCGTCGCTGCGCAGTCTAGAGTCTTCCAAGTGCTCGTCAAAACACTCACAGGCACGACATTGGCGTTTGACGTGACCGACGACGATAAGATCTGGTACCTGGCATGGGATATCTGGAAAGCAACGGGGATTCCAATCGTGCAACAGAAACTGATTTTTCAAAGTCAACTTCAACTTGGTAAGTGTGAGCAACGGAAGAGCGTGTCCTCCTTCAAATGTTTCTAAACTCACGATGAGTAGACCGGACGATCGCGGACTACAAGATTACAAAGGCAAGTACCTAGCATCCATTTCGTCTCTTGTCACGTTGCCGGTGGTTCATCTGACCCGTCTTAGCATTCCACAGTTCGCTTGATTATTCGACTCCGTGGAGGCACAGCGACGCCGGGACTGTGTAGGTACGCCGGGAAGGTCGCGGAAGCTGACCAGATGCGGGAGTTGGAGCTTGGGCCAGGAGGCCTGATTCGGCAGGAACTGTTTGACGATCCGGGGTTGCATATGTGGGGTTATATGTCGACAGGGTTTCGCGTGCGCGTCATCGATGCTGCCGAGTTCCGATTGCTTAAGAGCTTGGAGGCCCCTGCCATGCCGAAGCTGCCGCGCCGGCGGAGCACAACTTCAATCTACCCGGAAAATGGCGACGGACAGGGGCTGTTCGCCTCTGCCGCGCAAAAATATAGCGAGATGCAAGAGGGGAATCATGCATCGGGAGCCCCGAGGCTTGTTCAAAAGGAAATATCCACAGGCTGCTTGGGATGCCTTAAGGGATGCTTTGGATGCTGAACAGATACGTAGTATAGCTAAGTAAAGCTTGCTAAACACTCTCTCACCATCCCGGGAGGTGAAGGCTCCTGCGACGCTTGACCATCGACATCCAGCGCTTGTTTCTGACGCAGCGCCTAGTCTCGCACCAAATATCCTGGTCGGCTGTCCCGTCCGGTCCACCCATGCCGAGTGACTCAGGCGTCAGGGACAACAGCCAGGCTGCCGAGGTTGGGCTGTTAGACAAGAAGCCGTGCCGATCGAAAGTAATGTAGAGGCGCCGGCCGTTGCGGCGCCACAAATAACTGGCCATGCAGGCTCGGCAGCCATAGGAATGAAGGCTACGTGCCGAGGGGCCCTGGTGCGGCAAGACGCCGCCAGAGCCTTCTTCCTCTTCTTTCTCCTCCTCCCCTTCTGGGTGAGAAGAGCGAGCGAGACACAGGCAGCATAATGGCCGGACACGGTGATTAGTGACATGATCGGGCGACGACATCCGGGCTGGGAAGCAGGCACAAGTGTCTGAGCTGAAGGCCCGGAGCACTACTGTTGGCAAGGCTCCGGTTAGCTTCAACGACATAACCTAATTCTGAGGCCCGCACTGTATTCCATGGTGGCAATATTCTCCATGCCAGTGCGGCGCTACTAAGATAATTACTGCATACCTACAACGGGGCCTCTGCGCAATGGAGGGAGGCGTGGTTTGCCCGAATTGTCGTCACGACTAGTGGAAGAAATGGCGGTCGAGATTGGGGCTGTGGTAAAGTACCTAGGTGCTTGGTTCGAAGTCACCGTCTACGCGGACCTCGATGGCTCGGCCATTGACCAGGCTGACAAATGTCAGCCTATTCCTCCCCGTACCTTCCCCAGGAGCTGATGCCAGGTGAGGGATAATGTAGGTTGCTTGATTCTGAGGGAAGGAACGATGGAGCCGCCGGCACCTTGGTGGGTATGCTTCCTGTCTCCGACTTGCATCCGTCTCCAGACGCTTAAGAAAGTAGTTATGTGGCTCTTCACATTCAAGACGAGAAAACAGCCAGCCAGACACACACACACACCACACTCACCACACACACACCACACACACACCACACACACACCACACACACACCACACACACACCACACACACACCACACACACGCACACATACCAACCTACCTAGCCTAGAATGGCGGATGGCCATTCCAAGGAGAACAACCTCTCCACCACAATGTTAAATGGATTCCTGATAGCTCAGGTTGTTGTGGTGGCGCTCTTTAGCGTGTGGAAGCTGTGGTGCCAGTTCTCCAAGCCCAAGAAGAAGCAGCCCGACGAGGAGATCGTCGAGCTTCAGGGTACGTGCTGTGCCCCTCTTAATCGTCATATGCATTAGCTGTAGCTGACGGTTCGCGGTAGATCTGAAGATAGCCATCCTTCTAGAGGTGGTTGAGAAGTTGAACGACGACGTTGGCAGGCTGAGCAAAGATGTGAACAAGCTGAGAGCCGAGCTGGACGAGGCGCGACGAGACACTGCTACCCTAAATTGGCTGGCGATTCGACCATGGGCGGAGTGGATGTCGTCGCGAAGGGTGGAGGGTGGGCTTGGACTTTGGGCTCGGTGTCGCCACAACTAAGTCGCTCCTGTGAAGCGACTACCAGCAAGATATCGTGGAGACACCAAGGTTCCCCGACCCGCCCAGCGAGCCTCGTTGGCGCGGTCTTCGGCAGCGACGGTGCGGGCCGGGGGATTTTCTGCAAAGTGGCTTCTCAAATTCCTAGGTAGTTAACAGGTGGCAGTGATGGTGGTGACAGCAAGAGCAGGAGCGATACACAATTACAGAAATAGCACCGGATAACAACGGCAAGAGCAATAGACAGTCATGGCAAGAGCAATATACAGTGACGGCAGTAGCGATAGAAGCAATAGCAACCGCAACAGATAGTGATGGGAAGAGCAATAGAGAGTGGCAGTAGTAGCGATAGAAAGCAACGGCAATAGCGACAGACAGCGACAGGGAGATCCTTCCATATTTGCAAGAGTATTTACTTAAGTAAGCACTTCAGTTTCAGCATCATCCACCCGGACAGGCTTTGCAAGAAGGAGGAAACTACCATAGAAGAGATTGGGGTTTCTTAGGCAGTATGCCTAAATCATGTTAGGAGCTTATCGAGGCAACTGCTGTCGGTATTTCACAACACCCAACGCAGATTCTATTTTGGAAAGAGTGTCTAAGCTCAGAATGCAATACCCCTCAACACCTCTACCTCACTACCACCTCCCCTATACCACACTGCTTACTACCAACACTACAATAATGTCACCTGAAAACGAGAGACAAAGAAAACGCTCAGATTCTGTAATAAGAAGGCGCGCGCGACTAATAGACGTTGGAGCTTGTAAAAAGTCTCCAGGTAAAGAAAGGAAGAATGGTGGCTTAGTGCTGGCAACATCTTGGTTGTGTACCAGATGACAATAGGACAAATGAATGGGGGCTCAGTGCCGGCAACCCTCCAGCACTGACCTGGCTATGTACCTGTCACCTTTTGAGAGAAGTATGGAGAAGACCGCAATATCAGTAATCTCACACGAGTCTCTAACATAGTAGCAATGTCACGGGGACCCACCGGGGCGTCGGCGGCTGACCTCCGGAGATGCCTTGTCGAGGGGGAGGAGCATATGGACAGGTACCCGGAAAGGGGACCCACAGGGGGAATGGATTAGCAAAGCGGGCCCCGGGCCCGAGTCAAAGGGAGTAAGTCCTATCCTCTGATTGGCGGGCCCTCGAAGGCCGTTGCTCGAGGCTTTGCACATTGAAACCTGTCGCCGTGTGGCATAGTCCACCAATAATATGTGATCCAGCAGTCTACTTGGGTAGTATCAGATACTGGCGCTACTGTCTGCTTACGCTTTGCTTCTCGCCGATTTTGAGCAAGTTTCCCTACTATAATTGTAATTGGCGACGGGAACGGCCAAGGCTATATCAATCCTTCTCCTGTCAGTTAGACACGTGAATTGTTTGCCGGACATTTTTGAGCTAGTTTCCTCGCTATAAATAATCACAGGAATAGCCCAACTCATCAAACATTGAACTCTCTCCAACTGGCGCACTTTTTGCTCTTTGCCTTCTTTCTTCCTGCCATATGTGATGAGAACGTACGCTACCTCGATGATTACCATATTGTTTCCAGCCCGTTGGGTAATGGCCGGTCTGGTATTACTGCTCAACCTGGTCTGTGTCGCCGCTGGGCAGAACCTGACCCAAGAGCAAGGGTTCAATGCTCGGCGGACCCTATCTATTGGCTACGTACGCCACTTCCATGCTTTTGTTTCCAAACGTGCAAGATGCTGAGTGAACAAATTAGATTATCTTCCCCGGATTTGAGCCACTAGACGTCTATGGCCCCCTCGAAATTCTCTTTGAAGCATGCGTACCATTATGCGACCCTTGTCTAGATGTCTCAGCAAGTCACATACTGAGAGAGCCCTGGCTCAGTTCAAAACACCATTTACTGATATTTCCCGAAACTTCAGCTCTCCTACAACTACAAGATGACGCTGGCCACCATCGCTCATACTACCGGTCCTATTTCCTCCCGCATCCCGCCCCAGCGCATGGACGACAACGACTCATCATCACCCCGCGATGACTTCGGCTTTATGCTCGGCCCCTCCATGCTGGCCACGCACACCTTCGAGGACGCCCCCGCCCTCGACGTCATCATCGTCCCGGGCGGCTTGGGCAACTCGGCGCTGATCCAGGCCAACGACACCGCCATCGAGTCCTTTATCGCGCGTCGCTTCACCGCCGCAGACTATGTGCTCAGCGTGTGCACCGGGGCCGTCAGCCTTGCTCGCGCGGGGGTGCTTTCTGGTCGGAAGGCCACGACTAACAAGGGTCTGTGAGCGTGGGCGACGAGCTACGGAGACAACGTTACGTGGGTCCCGAGTGCGCGCTGGGTTGAAGACGGGAAGGTGTGGACCAGCTCGGGGGTTGCAGCGGGGATGGACATGACGTATGCGTTTTTGAAGCATCTGTACGGGACTGAGATGCTTGACGCGGTCATGAACGGTATCGAGTATGCCCCGCATGTCGATCCTCACTGGGATCCGTTCTCTGTTGTTCACGACGTAAGTTGTTCTGTCTTGATGCGGAGGGGTCGCGTATTAATATCCTCTACAGGTTCCTGGTGCGGATAAAAACAGGTCACTGGGTGACTGTATCGCTCCGGTTGGATACGCTGCAACATGTTCTTGACCATCACGAGACAGAAATACGCTCAATAATAAGCTTAGGGCAATATCCAGACAGCAATCATGGGGGTATTCTGACATTGTTAGAAGACCTACATGGAGTTCATCTAAACACTGCCTAGCCCGTTGATTCAACGTGCAATACGACATCGTCATGTCCCCTGTTGCGTGACACCTTAGTCAAAGACTCCCTTACCCCGGTGGAAATAGCAGTCCCTCCACAAACAAATACAGCGACCCGCCCACAGGCCCCATCCATTATTTCTTCAAAATAATCCTCCAAGTCCGGCCGGCCCGTCACCTCTTCGACACTGGGATCATCGACATTGTCTAGTCCAATATCTAGCTCCTTATCCCAACCTGTACTGCTCACCGACGACTCGCGGCTATGTCTCAGGAAAGACTTGTCCGAGTCTGATGATCCGCGAAGCTCAAAGTCGTTTTCCTCTAAAGACAATTGTGATCGGTCCTGAGCGTCGACCCCGACCAACCTCTCGTAGAGGCCTGTCGGCTCGCTGGATCCACCGGCTTCGTCGAGGTTCATGGCCGGAACTTCAGGTGGTGCAGTGATGGCAACTTTGATGTGAAAGACGATGCCGGATCCCATGCATTCTCGCAGCATTTGACGGAGCCGTTGGATGTATATTTCAAGATGGGCTTTCCGACGATCCACCAAGAGTACGTGCACGCGGCGGGCCATTGTGACACCTGAGCTAGCTGCCAGCGACTCAATAACGGGGATAGTGAAAGAAGCGCCAGTCGAAGCAGATATAAAGACAAGGGTTTCGTATGACGTGCAACTTAGTGGGTTTCCAAACGGCCCCGAAATAAAGACTCGCAGTCGCCGGTGCTTCTCGCCAGGAACGTGTGCTTGGGCGTACCGGTTCAATTTCTTTGTGAAGCCTCCTTTAGTCCGCATCACGAGCGAAATATGACTGGAACTGTCTGGTCCCGGGCTGGGGCTGTTGGCGATCGTGAATGGGTGAGGTGACTGGAGCCAGAAAGTAGGCATCCAGACGTAGACGTACTGGCCGGGGGTCCAACTGAAGTCAACTCCGTTGACGTCCAGTACTGTCAAATCGTCGTCGACAGCGGATACTGTGGCCTCGTACCCGATCCTCCGCCGGCCACGGCATAGCCTCTTGGGTAGGACCTCGATGTTTCTGTACATAAAGTGCAGCAGGCGTGATACAAGGTCCGAAATGATGGCGGCCGAGGCGAAGTGAACATAGAACTTGTGGTTCTTAGGAATATGCCAATATAAAAGCAGAAGAAAACCCAGTGCGGAAGCCATGTGCTGGAAGATAAAAAACTCATAGGACAGGCGCCTCATGGGGCCCACAGAGCTCAGGGCTGCCCAGGCCAAGATCGCCCACGCAACGAGGCCGTGCTTGACTCGAGGCACGATCTCAAGTTCGTCCCAGAAGAAGTTATTAGGAATCCACTGGGCCAGGAAGAGCGCCCCGTGAAGTGTTGAGAGGAGAAAGATTGTTCTTGCCAGCCATCGGTGCAACCACTTCAGGCGTTGGCGGGATACGCCTGTTGCAAAGCTGATGACGTTGAACTGAGACAAGAGAAGAGCCACGAACGGGAATTGGCTCAGAGCGAGCCAGCCGGAGCGAAAGGCCAGTGTTTCCAAGTCAGTCTTCTGTGCGCCCAAGACCCGGAATAGGAGCAAGAAGCAAATGAATCCACAGTAAACAGCCAAAGCCAGACCATTCCGTAACCCTAAGCCTAGGTAGGAATATGGGCCTGGAAATGACGGCAGTGGCACGCAGCGGAGTCTCTTGGCAACACCACTGTTCTCAGCGTGGAGCCCCTGGCTGTCGGTGGGCGGCTGCCTCTCCAGGAGTTCAAGCGATGCTTGTTTTGCCACCCTTCGCCGGCTGTCTTGGCTGTCAGATACGAGGCTGTCGAAAAGGGGGGAGACCAAATGCAGGTAGCAGGAAACCGAGGCGGTGGGGGAGGGATACGTACCTGAGCCATGGCTGCAAGAAGAGCACAAGTCTCCACAGGCTGACAGACGAGACCACGACGCCGGCTGAAACCCAAAACAAACCGGCCATCAAGCGGTTGTCGCTCCCGCGCGAATAGCCGACTTCATGACGAACGTGTGCTGTTTTCATGGCAATGCGAGCCGACGGGTTTCTGCTTATTAATTTTGTGCGCCGGCCCCGTCGCTTCTGGGGGGATTTTCTGCGGCCGAGGCCCGGTCTCGCCCACCCACCCGGATGGAAGGGGTCAGGTCACGTACAGACCCGGAGATGTGGGGTGACGAGCTGCTGGAAATTGGTTTAATTAAGTGGCTCCAAGGCCCAGACCTCTAGAGAGGCTGTGAGAAATAGATGCTGGCGGGATGGCAAGCGCAACGTAGTGAGCCGCATGTGCCTCGACGCATTACGCACCGGTTGTTTTTCACTTTTTTAATTCTGATGCAACCAACAGAAGAAAAGTGCATAGTGCCTATTATTGTGTCAGAATGACTATTGTTGGGGGTTCATTAAACGGTTTTTGTTGTGTAGGGATGTTGGTGTGATCACGCTTGAAAACCTGCTCAAAGGGCCTCATGTGTGTACCCCTGATCCTTCCAATAGCCTAGTCACAAGCAAAACGCCAAGCTTGCAACAGCTCCCTGATAGCTCCGGCTAGATCTCCGAGGCACCCGAAATAACATCTTTCGGCGCCCTTTTTTCCCTTCTTCTCTTCCCAGTATTTGGCAGGTGTTTTCCGACGCGTCCGGAGGCCGAAGGGGACTTGTAGTAGCGTGCTCGTGCTCAAGATTTAATTATGAGGTAACCGTAAATGTTAATTACACATCCAACTGCAGAACACGCCACCAATATCCATCTCCAGGCGATATTCGGAGCCACCAAACTGCCCCCCCGCAGAAAGAAGGTAGGTAATTGCATCTCGCTGCATTCGCCATGCATCAGACAGCAGCAAGACAGCAACAGTTCAAAGAAGGAGACCCGCAGCAAGTACCCCAAGAGCAAACACGCTCGCAGCACCGCGGGCAAGAGAACTAGCCCCGGCAGTGAAAACCGGGGGCTGCGACGCGGTGGCGCTCCCCGTCACAGTGGAGTCTCCGCCGGCGACGGTCGAGCCCTCTGCGGTCCCGCTCGGGTGCGTATGGCCCGAATGGGTCCCTGTAGACGACAAGTCGCTGGTCATAGACGCGCCCGGGCTGGAGCCCGTCGCGGACGGCTCTGATGAGGTGTCTGGCGAGGTATCCGTCGGCGCGGGGCCCGAGGTCGAGCTCGAGGTTATGGACTGGCTGTGGCCACCACCCGCAGAGGAGCTCGTTGGGGACGAGGGGCCGGGAGCTGCAACGATGGGGTCGTAGCTGACACCTGGCGAGTTGGTGCAATCGTTTGGGACGGAGTCAGGGCCGCCGGCGACGAATTTGATGGCCGCGCACTGGAGGGAGGCTTGTTAGAGTCCCGAATGATCAAGATCTATCGGTTGAGTGACTTGGTTCGGGGAGCACGTGTTACTTACCTGGTATAGCTTGCCATCGGGAGCGTGCTGGATGAGCTGCAGCACGGCGTCTTTGCCAACCCAGGCCTCGAATCCCGGCACCTTGGTGAAGCAGACTTCTCCAACACCCTTCTGCCCAAAGGACTGGACAAGGGGACGCCAGTTGCTTGTGTCGCTGAGCAGGGCAACATTGATCTCCCACGTCACAGAGGGGTGCGTGCTCAACAGGCCGACGCTATCGCCCTGCACGCTCCACTCAGTGACGCCCTGGGATCGATCGGTGGGATCGAAGGTGTCGCAAGGGCCGGTGGTCTCGAGCCCGTCGTTGTAGCCGAGGCTCGTGGGAATCTGCAAGACAAAGTGGGCATTGGCAGTGAGCGCAAGACCGAGAAGGACGAGACGCTGGTGCATGGCAGGCATGATTTTATTGGTTGAAACGAGGGACGTTGTTCGCAAAGCTCTGGACTGTCTGTGTGGTAGGAACGAGTGTAAGCTGATTAAATCTTGGATGGTGAGCTGGTGGACGAGAGCAGTGCAGTTGAGAGGTGAACCTCGGTGACTTGTAATTATATGCGTAGAAGCACCTTTTCAGTGCCATGATCTAGAATGCAGTCTCCTTGTAGAAACTTGCTCATTTGTGATATTACCAGATTTAATGCTCCCCCAAATTACCCAGACGTCAACACGAGAGTACTGCGCCCTGCGATCCAGATGGCCTTATCTAACAAGGGGTTATGTTGGTTCGATGCGCGCATTGTTGGTTTAATCAACCGTCTAGTTCATATATTGAAATCTGGGTGTGTGGGGGAGGCGTTTTTTGCCAAGCTTGTGTTTACCGGCCGTTAGCCCCTTATCATATATACCCTGGTGAGCGAAAAGGTTCTCCTCCTCGGCCACGTTCAGCGAGGTTGAAAGTTGCTTAACCCCCCTACCCCTTCCAAAGTTCTTCGGGTCGTCCTCTTCAACAAGTTGGATGTGTCTCCTTCGTCCTCCCCTATCATTGTTGCCGCTGTTGAAAACCCAGAATGCTCTCTTTTCACCTCCTCGCCTTCACAACCGGCGCCCTGTCGCACTTTGTCCTGCAGGTTCCAGCTTCCATCGGCTTCAGCGACTCCCTCGAAGGCACCGGGCCATGTGGGAGCTTTGATATCACCAGTCGCACTGGTGAAAGCAACTGGCCCGTTGCTGGAGCTCCGATCCAAGTCATTACGACCCATCCGCATGCCGACTGGCAGATCCGTGCAGCACTGCTGAATGACACCTCCGCGTTCCGCAATCTCGTGCCCAACGTTTCTCAGGGAGGGATCGGGACGTTCTGCTTGCCCGCCGTGCCAGGCATTGCGGAATGGGAGGGCCTCGAGGCGGTCATGCAAATGACCCAACACGCCGTGGATGGCGCCCTTTACCAGGTTAGCTGCAGCAGTGGGCTGTCAGAAAAGAACCATCGGGGCAAGTCCACTGATCTAGTGTACCGCAGTGTGCCGCTATCAAGTTCGTTTCCGGCTCAGCAGCCTCCGTTCCGGGTACTTGCAAGAACTCGACAGGCATCACTGCCACATTCAATCCCGCCGACGCGGGCACGTCGACCACAACACCAGGAGATGCTACCGGAGCTGGTACCGCCGCAACGACCACACCGTCTAAGGCTACCTCTAGAGGGGCGCGTGCTGAGGCTGTGTCAGTGTTGTTGATACTCGCAGTGTCGCTGATGGCCTGCGTGGCTTAGGTTGGAGATAGGCTGTAGCCTCAGATATGGGATCATCTGGGTCTTGCGACACGTCACGAAGCCGAGAGCTGTTGGGGCTTCACGCTCGCCTGGCGGCAAGGTCAGGCTGGATAACATAGGGATGGTGCCTCAACATGTATGCTGTGCGGGCGCTTTGCACCGGAAATTATTATGTACTTGCACAGAGATCATTTTTATCTATCAGTGAATCTTATTGGACGCATTGATCAATGTCTCATTGTCTGCTAGACCAGGGCCATATCCAGTCGTTCACGCGCCCATGAGAGCAACCACAGGGATACATGCAAGGATTTCTGTGTTTCCCTCCCAAAGTCGAGTCACCGAAGTATGCCTTCTCACAGCCAACTGAGATCGATCCTGCTGTCGTTGACACACCCGGCGGGGGTTGAGGTTGGCCAGCCCTCGACAAACTTGATGGCGGCGCACTGTGGGTCTTCCATTAGCTCTGAGAGCGAGGGCTAGGCACCACTAAAAGACCTTACCTGGTAGAGGTCACCATCGTGGCCATGCTGGACCACCTGCAACACAGCCTCTTCTCCTACCCACGATTCATCCCCGGGAACGACAGGCTCGCAAAAGCTCCCAACGCCGGTCTGGTGAAGAACCCCGGTGAGCGGCACCCAGGTTTCGAGGTCACTCAGGAAGGCCGCCTTAAAGTCCCAGGTAGCTTCGCTATGGGTGGTCAGAAGGCCCACGGCAGAGCCCCCAACAGGCCATAGAGTCACATTATTTCGCTTCTGAGGGTCGAAGCCGCCGCATGGAGACTCCGTCTCCGCGTCGTCGTCAAATCCGAGGCTTGTGGGTATTTGAAGAACGAAATGCGCCTTCGAGAGCGTAACGGCGCCGAGAAATAAAATAGTGGAGAGGCTTGGGGGATGCATTGTGAAGCACGGAGGCGAAAAAATCTTAAGCCTTTTCCTTGAGATTGCTACCTCTGAACAAAGGATACAGGGAAGGACAACACAGAACCATTGGCAGGACAAATGGTAGAGTAAATATAGTTATGAGACAGGTGGGATCCTCAGGCCATCAGGGGTTCCGACGGAGGAATAATAGCGCTGGGACGTCCCGCGCGGCCACCTTGATAGCTACAAGGAGAGACGTTTCCGTAATTACTGGCTCTGTTGGCTTGAAAACTGGCGGCGAAATCTCTTTACCGGGCTGGGCTAAACTGTTGACGTGCATCGATGAGTTTATTTGAGCGAGTTGGTAAAGGCTATCTTAATTTTGGTGACAAGATTCCTTTATTAATCTATGCCATGGGAAAATTGGGGGTAGTCTGAAATCTAGACCCCTGTCGATCTGCTGAGCCCCATCCTCAGAGCATGTGTGACAACCATCCGCAATGAAACTTACTCCTGATATTCGAGGACCCGTAAAAGAGCGCAATTTTATCTAATTCTCAATTGTAGGTTGCATGTAATTAATGTGATGCCAACATCAGGAGGTAGAAATGCCAAACGGAAGTCAGCCCCTGGTTGCTAGTGGTTGGCTAGGTAACGTAGACTGGCTGGGCGGGTCGTCACTGTCCGTGTCTCTGTCGGCGGTGACGGGGGCTGACCTTGCTGCTGTGCCGCAGTGTGCGCAGGGCAGCACTACCCTCTCCTCGTCCTCCCCGGTCATCATGTCCACGATGTCTTTTAGCTAGTCCAGCTGCCTAGTCCATGGCAGGGACTACTTATGGCTGATCCAGTTGGATGACGAGTACGAGGAGTTCATCCGCCTGATCAAGGGCCATCAGGGGATGGCCGGCGAGTGGTGACCCAAGTCTGTCCATTGCTGCAAATGTGTTCCTCTCGGCCATTGCCAAAGTCGCTATTCATTACTGTGTCCCATAGTGCAAACTGTCTCACAACCACTTTCCGGGTGTGGGGCGGGGGGGGGGGGGGGGGGGGAGGGTTTCTACAGCCACCCTAGGTGGGGAAATAAGTAAGGAGCCACATGACACATCCTGTGGTGCATGACATGATCCACAATGATCTATCACGTGATGCATCACGGTGTCAAAGTGCCAGAGTGCCAGAGCAATCCATAGAGTTTGGCAGATGAGTTGAAACGCCACACCTACAACTAAGTTCTTCCATTTTACTGTCATTATCAGGTGGGATTTCGGGATTTCGCTGCCTATGACAGTAGCTCTAGCAGGGTAAGATTTTACTGCCTGTGGTGTGCCTGTGGCTGAAAACTACCTGTAGCGCACAGACCCAGGCGCGAGTAACAAACTGCCCTGACCAAAACTCTTCGGAGCGGCTCAGAATCTCGTGACCAGACCACTTCAAATTCCGACTTCGTCCGCAACATGTCTGTCTCGCCCTGGTCGACAGGACAGATCCAACCTCCGCCGTGAGGCCTAAATTATTGGCACCGCATTCTCCCCGGATGCGTACATACAATAGCACCATTGTTCCCCAGCCAGTTCCCACTATATCCTTTGCATCCCGCGCAGATGGCCTGGTAGAGGAGCTCATGGAAGACCCGACATCACGCTGGTCATAGGTTAAAACCACATGGTTGCTGCCTCTCAACCAGGTAGGCAGGTACCCCACTTCATGTTCCATTTGGAATGTACGATGAAGCTGTTTCGGGTCTGATCGCTCTACTATCACGGTTGGGTAATGCTGTTCTCCGTCAGTTTGATCCAAAATGAGGCTCCCTGGCTGCCCGCTTATCATACCTGCTCCTCCCGAATTAAAGCAGAAGCATCGCCGGCCCATCCATAAGCATGGAGTCTACCTAGATGCTATCCTTTTGACGAGTCATATGCTCACTTTGGCTCTGTTCTCTGATATCCCAAAATGGGTCTCCATGGCAATGACTTGATCGGCACTTACCAACTGTTCGCCGTCAACTCCACGTCGCCATCCCATCGTAGGCACTCTTACTTGTATGGAAGTGGTCGAGCTTCTGCCAGATAGGGCCTGGATTGCTGACAGAGACGTGCACTCCACAAAGTGGCAAGGGGTATATGATGGCTGATGTTGAAGGAATGGAAAGACATGGACGCGGTGGTTCACAGTCGCCCAATTCAAGACGTGATAGAGGGGGGAAGAGTGCATGCATGTTGGGGTGGGCGGAGGAGGGGGATTGGTTTGCGGCGGAAACCGTGCTCGAAGCTCATTGGCTGGTTCGAGGTGAGGCACCTTTCGAACCCTGGCATATAAAAGGTCGCTCACCCCCCGGCCCCTCCTTCTCCCCCTTTTCACTCCTTCACTATCAAATTGCCAATTCCATCAAGAAAGCAATTTCAAACGTCTTGAAACTTTCCAAGAGGCTCAAATCCATCAAGAAAAACCCCCCTGAGTCCACTAGGACACCACTTGGTCCCCCCAGCATTTACACGATAGTCATGTCCTCACCAATGGCCGCCACAGCTGACATGCACCGTCGCCCAGAGCCTGGATGGCTCGAAGCCAGCCCATGGCCCCGTCCTCATGGCCGGACCCAAACATCCACATCATTTGCCCATGACTCGGCACATGGAACACGTGACTCGTATCAACGGCCAGGACATCGACAGCAGGCACCCAGGCAGAGGCTTCCAAAGCACCGTAATGTCGATCCGGCGTGCTCATCGGACATCACTGCCGCACCAATGATGCAGCTAGTCAGCTCCAGACCCGGAGTCCGACAGCCCATCCAGACCTGGATGCCGCCTCGGGACTCGATGGGTAGACCGCCAATGTGGAGAGAGGTGCCTTCAACGGGTCAACAGACACCACTGCACCATCCCGGCATGTGCGGATCGCCCCCACCGCCATTTCTCACCCACGAGGCATGGCCACATGATGGCCGGGCATCATCCGGATTACCGCCGGCGCTGCCGACTCCACCGATGACGCCCGGGGCCTCTCGATTGAGCAGTCCGGATCTCGAGCCGCTAGGACACGACGGGCGATTTTGCGTTTGCTGTCCAGACGAAGACCGATATCTGGCCGGACGAGCGAAAATGGACTCTCAATGTAGGTGCATCCCCCTCGATTTTGCGGGAAGTGAGGATGTGAAGTCACGTTGTTGGCGGTTGGTCCAAGCGTTTGATTGGGATGCCTCACGAAATAATGTGCTGACTCATCCAGTGCAAGCTGCGTTAGCGCACATGGCGCACCGCAACTCCAGAAAATAATGTCGCGGTTGGTAAAGTACGCGTAGGGATTGGGAGAGTCATGTGATGGATTAATGTATTGGCGTTTGGCGTGTGCGGCGATTCTGTTTTGCCCTCTCTCGCATATTTCTGCTGTCAGGCTCGAGTTAGCACTGTTGCGTCTAGGTGTCAGAAGAAAACTTGATTATCTGTTGTGGCAGAGGATGCGAAAAAGACGAAGTGATAATGCAACATACACGTGTAGAACAGGCAGCAACGCACGTGCGAGGTGGGTGGGGCGTCACCCGGAGGCAGCCGTTCGCAGGCGGGCATTCCCGTGCCGAAGTTAACCCAACCCTAACCCGGATGCCGATTCCGTCATCGGCGCCAGTCCCGGCGAAATATCCTCCGCTCGATTCGGCGCGGGGCGGGGATCGATGTCCATCGCCCTCTGAGAGAGCTCTTGATTGCATTGTAGACAACGGATCACATCAAGCCATGGCAGATACTTCCAAGACGGCCTTACCCTTGGTCGATTTCGCCAGGTTGCGCAGCGCCGAGACAAGAGATGAAGAGCTGGCAAAACTGCGACATGCCCTTTTCACAATAGGGTTTCTCTACCTGGTTAACTCTGGATTGGAGGTTAGTCTTGCAGTTTTGTGTGTAATTACGCTCTAAGGAGTCCTCTAATAATAATCATCTGCCTGTCAGGAAACTGCAGCTGAGTTGCACGGCTCGCTCCCAGGTCTGTTCGCCCTGCCAGCCGAGAAGAAGCAAGCAGTCGCAATGTTGAACTCGCCTTCATTTCTCGGGTACACCCAGCTCGGAGCCGAGATGACCGCTGGCGGGACTGACATGAGAGAGGCAAGAAAGCCAATCCCGCAGCGTATCAAGATTGTCAAATGCTCATGGTATCGACAAAACAGCAATTCGACATTGGCACTGCCACAGAAGATGCCTGGAAAGAGGGCGCGCCGACCTGGACCAAGATGGAAGGAACTAGCCAGGTCAGAAAATGAATATCCCTTCGATGCAGCTGCTCACCTCGTCTCCCCCTGACTAAACGGACGATATACAGTACCCGGACTACCCGGGCTTCAAGCCACTGGTTGGGGAATACCTCCGACGAATGACGGACCTCAGCACCGAGTTCCTCGAGGCCGTCGCCGAGTCACTATCGCTACTGCGGGGCACCTTCGATCCCTTCCTGGGGAGAATGCACCGCCTAAAGCTGATCCGCTACCCGCCCGCCGCAGCCGGCTCCGTCGGCGTGGGTCCGCACAAGGACTCGACCGGCCTGTTCACGTTCCTCTCGCAGGACTCGGTCGGGGGTTTGCAAGTCCTGAGCAAGAGTGGGGAGTGGATTGACGCTCCTCCCATCGAGGGCAGCCTGGTGGTCAATGTGCAGCAGGGATTCGAGGCCGTCACCGGGGGGGTCTGCCCTGCCACCACCCACAGGGTTATTGTAAGTCGGGGGTTCTCCTTCCCAAACTATACCCCGCTAACATTAGGGCAAAGTCTCCAACCTCGGTGACGCGGTACAGCATTCCCTTCTTCCAGGGCGTCAACTACGAGCTTACGCTGGACACTCTGAAGGTCTCAGCAGCGCACATTGTGTCCAAGATCCCCGTGTCCGACGATGCGAAGAAGAGGGCGGTCGATGTGCCGAGCGAGTTTCTTTCACCTCTGTATTCGAGTGTAGGTTCCTTCGCTCTTTTCAGATCCAAATGATATCATCGTACATGTCACGTTCATGTGGCTAACGCTCGTCGACAGCTTGGAGAGGCTCGGTTGAGGAATCGGATCCTAAGTCACCCGGATGTAGGGCAAAAATGGTACCCGGATCTGTACGAGAAGTATCGTCAGCAAACACTCGTATGATCACATCTTGATGCAATCCAAGCCATCCTCTTCGAAACGAGTTATCGCCGACCATTGCCTATTCGTCGTCACTCCCATTATGCACGGCATGAACTGTAACAACTTCCGCACTGTAAGGCAAAAGGTGTGTGTCCGTCTTACCGGCCGGTTCGGGATTATTTATAGTAGATGCGATAGGAGGTCCGCCGGTCATCGGTGAGCAGGTCCGGGACGAGGGCCACCAGTCTCTTTACTTGCTGTTCCAGCAAGTGATGGGACTGCATGGCCCAATGAATCTGTCGAACAGCTTTGACCAATCACATGGGTTCTCCGTCGGAGCGAGGCCGGAGGTGTGAATGGAGCACGTTTGAGCAAGATTCCCGAAACTGCTCATGCCAAGCCAAGTCCCAGTGACCTGGATGGTTCTGACTGCTAATTACTCCGCAAGGTGCAACCCCTCCGCCGGCCAACCTCCAACAGAAATCATTAGCATGGACTCGCGTCACTGATGCATGATTTAATCTATGTCAAATCTGCTCATTACTTCTCGGTCCACCCACCCAAGTGGTACCAAAGGGCTGGAACCTCTCTCGATGAGGAAGTGGGCCAATGGAGATATCATTTCCGTTGATATTACTTTGGGACCTTTAAGCTTCTTGCCCCGGTGCCACCCAACCGAGGTGCCACCCAAACTTTCAGATGAAGCCATCTCAGCCGTCCTCGCCCAGACAATTAGTACGCTCTCCGGCACTAATTAACGCCAAAGGCTCTCTGGAACACCTTCCTGTAGCTCTGCCATAGGCTCATGGTCTGAAAGAGAACAAACATGAGACGCCCAGACCCGACGCAGATCTTCGCCCTCGCAGCCGAGTTTATGGTTGTCGTTCCGACACTGGTCTTGTTCGCGGTCATCTATGCTGACGACCTGAGGACGACACTGTGGGAGATCGGTGGGAACAAAGGATGGAATTCAGATCCAAGACTCCGAATATACTTCTACGCAAATCATCGGGAACCACCTGAGATTCCGTTTATCTGGAGCCAGAGGTACGCCTTTCCGGACATCGAGTCTATCCTATCAAGTCCAAGCTGTTTTCTGAATCGGGGATGATGCTAATTAACGCTTCTCCCAGATTAACCGACTCAGTCCTTGCCATTGCAATGCTCGGGGTTGCAGTATGGTTGGCCAGGTTCACGCTTCTCTATTTTGGGGCTACCATGGCGAGGATCAATGCCGTGTACGATATCTTGCTTTCTGGTCTGTGGACTTACGCCGTGGTTGCCCAATCGTCCGGCGACTTCTCAGATCCAGAACACCCCTGCTCTCGACCGTGGTATCTAGAGAAGAGCTGCACGCAGGTTGGAAGTCAGAATAGAGGGGCCTGTGTTGCCGCCAAGGTATCGTTCTTCCTTGCGCTTCTCGCCATGTGAGTTGAGCCGAACCAAGATTCCTCTCTCACGCCACGTGCTAATTGCTGTTGCTCTCCAGGACTATGTATTTTGTGCGAGCCATATTTTCCGTCTTAGCCCTGGCATATTGGTGTGGAGAGAATGAGGTCTTTGATCGCTCTGTCGACTGGCTCTGCGGCGGGTCCTGGGGTCGCCATCCGTTGGGAGACCCATATTTCAGGATCCCCGACAAGGAGGATGAGTGGGACGCGATATAATTACGAGATATTGAGAAGCTCTGGGGGCTTTTGGTACAAAGTTATCGATATTAGATGTAGGCCACACCTAAACATCAACACCTTGAAACCACGTCAAGTGAAAGCATCTCTCCGAGCTCAGTGTATCCAGAGACGAAGGTGATAAGTCGGATTAGATGGCATGTGGGGTATCTCTCGACATATCATCAGCATTCCGAGTGCAAGTAATTTCCTGATGATGCATTAGCACAACTTCCCACCCCGACTTGATTACCTAGTCCACAGAGTACCATTCCTACGCCTTGGGTACGGGTAGCCGACAGACAGTTCGCAATTGCGTGCATCGCTTTGAGGAAAAGGAAGATTGCCGAATTTCGCTGCTTCTCGATCTGATCGTGTTCAGGTCAAGACTCTGTGACAACAAAACATGCATGCATGAGAAGAAATTGAAAGCCTGCAGTGGCACTGGCCCGGGTGAGGCAGGGAGCAGACGGAATTGCGGGGTGCGGGGAATCTTTGGGGTAATTATTATGGGGAGGTAGTCCACTCTTCACCTCGGCAAATAATGTGGGGGTCACTCCTGTCAACTTAGGTAGATAGGTAGGTAGGTAGGTAGAATTCATATTATACAGTCCGTACAAACAGTCTTGAAGCTTCTCTCTCCCATGCGTCACTTATTTACCGTATCAATCTGATATGTGCTTAATAGGGTGAGAATCTTCATCCCTATCCCCAACAGCCTTCCTGACAGCGGCGACAGCTTGGTCGGCGAACCGCTTGTCCTCGAACACTAGACATTGTTAACATATGATGTCGGTGGCAGACATTACCAAAAAGCAGGTGCGGGACGGGGAGGGGGAGGAGGAATGGATGGAACATACTGAATGCGAGTTCCTCCAACGTTCGGCCAAACGTTTCCGGGAACATGAAGTACACGAAAACGACCTCAAACGCCAACCAGCAGCAGTACGAAATCAGGTACCTCCATCCAACACTGTCGAGCCCGATAGGGTTTACGAAAGTGGTGAAAAATCCCGCAAGGCGGCCCCAGAGCTGGAAGATGGCGATACCGTGCGACCGCTCCATGAACGGCCATACTTCCACCATGTAGGCTAGGGTTTCGCAGAGTTAGCACACCGTTCGAGACAGACTTGTCACCTGGGGGTAATTAGAGTGACGACTTACTGTACGTGAGCGCGTTGTATCCCATGTTGTAGCAAGGAGAGTACGCGTAGATGAAAAACAGCACGGCGATGTTGGCCGCATTGTTGGGCTGGCCAGCATCCACCGCTGTCTGCGCTCGCTCCATTGAGATGGTCCAACCAGTGTAGCACAGCAGCAAGCTGATGGTGCATGTGAGGTACATGACGCGACGGCGGACCTTGAGGACGAGAAGTGAGACCGTGACGCCGCAAACCAGGCTCCAGCATGCGATGGAAAGATTAATCTTCTGGACGAAGGTTGACTCCTTGAAGCCAATAATGGCGAGTAAGTCGCCGAGGTAGTACCTGTTGAGCACAGATGCATGTTAATAAGCAGCCAGAGTGAGGGCCACGTCCTTCGAAGGGTCACATCTTACGAGATGAGCGTGTTTCCGGACCACTGGGTAAAGAGACCAAGCATCGTCGTGATAAGCACACGTCGCCGCATTCCAGCCGTGTTGAATAAATCCAACCATGATTTCTTGGACCCCTCGAGTTCCAACTGGATAGTCGTATGCATCTGGGCCATCTCGGCCTTTACGAATTCCGATTCATCGTCTCCCTCGGCATGATACTTGACCAGGATGGCTCGAGCCTCTTCGGCCCGGTCCTTTGTGATGAGCCACCGGGGACTCTCTGGTAGGAATCTTGCAACAAGCTAATCAGTCCCTGAACAGATTCCTTCCGTCCGACAACTCTTGGGAGTGTGTGCTTACAAGACAAACGAGACCTGTAGGAGAGAGGGGCAGATCTGGAGCAGAGATGGTATCCTCCACGCCCAGTCGTTGGGAATGCTGTTGGTCCCGAAGCAGATTGCGGCAGCGGTGATCTGCCCGACAAAGAAGCTCACGTTGAAGCTATAATGGCTTGATTAGGAGCTGAAACTCTGGGTTGAGGATGGGGCCATGGGCGCGTACAGAGACGTCATCACCGGCCGTTCCTTTGCATGGGCAAGCTCTCCGATGAGCGAAGAGCCAGATACGATGCAGGTGGGGATGCCGAATCCCAGTATCATTCGGGCGACGATGTACATGCCAACTATGACACGAAGTCACACGGTAAGCAGAAGTTCAAGCCAGTGTCGACGGGCAGTGATTAGCGCCTTACCGTGCTGCGAGAATCCCTGGATGAGGGCTCCAACCATCATAATAGACGAGCCGAGAAAAATAGACCATCGCCGACCCAACCTCTCATTCACAATGGGGACAAGAGGGAGCGAGAGAATTGCACCGAGGGAATAAGCAGCGGCTATGATGCCTTTCAGCGCGCCCTGTGGATTGTCGAAGTCTGCATTCGGGATGCTCAGCCAAACTGTCTACCTCAAGATCACACCGGTCACTTCACAACCAGTTCGTGGAATAATGACATACAGGTCTTCCATGCTGGTACAATCTGGAGCGCATTGATCATCTGAGAGTCGAATCCCGATGTCAACTCGATCCCCATGCATGTAGGGAAGAGCATAAAGTAGAGGAATCGCAAGTTTGGCTTCATGAACCAATACGTCTTGTCCTCGTTCGCAAGCCGTGTGAGGATGGGGTCGGACTTGCCGATCTCAGCCTTTGTGGCGGATGCGAGCCCCATGGCGAAATACGGCGGCTGTTCGAGATTGCGGAGATTGTCTTGTTGGGAGGTGGATAGATGGATGATTAGACGACTGCACGAGAGCAGGTCGACAAGACGAACTGGGGGCACTAAATTATTTTGATTAAATGCTGGGGAAGGCGTCTCTTATTAGACACATTCGCCTTATAATTATAGGCTGCGTATGATCTCCAACTTGGCTCTCCTCACAGGGGCAGCAATGGTCAATGCTGTTTCTTTTGGGTTCCCAGTGAAGCAGTTGCCCCAACCCATCGCAGAGTTGGAGTCATGGCGGATGTCCCTTCCCCGGTGTCCAATGCAATGTAGTTACCCAGACTTCCTACGACTTTAGAGCCGACTTCGATCGCCAGGGTTAGCTCAGGTGAGGTCTTGGCAGGACCAGGGATCAATCACAAGCTTCGTTTGGACCTGGGTAAATGCACCACAAGGCGGCTCTTTTTTACCGACGACGATCCCTGAGACACGCCAAGGTAGGGAATGGTAATGTTCCGGCGTTCCATCCAGCTCCCTTCTACCGACCCCATGCATCAAACAATATCTCTACACTTACAATTAGTCCTCGGTTCGCATCGGTTCTCTACATAGCCAAGGAGTTTCAAATAATTAAGACCAATCACACAATAAAGGAGCCCAACTCGAGATCAAATTGTTTCCACCATGTGCTCTTCTGATGAATGGGCACGTTTGCCACACTTTACGGCCTAGAGAGAAACAAATGTCAGCAAAAGCGTTTGACGCCAGGGCAGATAAGTCCCATCGGTTGACATTGGTTGAGACCATGAAGGCTTGCGCGCACGGAGGCTTGCATTTTGAGTTCACAACGCAACGTTTGCACGCAAGTTACCAGAAGAAGTCACAGTATCTTCAGCAGTCATCAAGTGAAACTGATCTTCTCTCGTCACAGGCTACTTACTATGTTGATGATGGGAGTACAGCGTTGCTCGTGGCATGCATTTGACAGGGGTTTCCAGAAGGCCTGGCCCTTCCCCGCATTTTTGCATCCATTCGGGGATTTACATGATTGTATTAGATTCCCAGCCCAAGTTAAACAGCAGTGGTTGCCGAAACCCGCGATCGGGACCAGCCAGCCAGCATGTACGGTTACCCCGACTGCTTCCTTATTGGCACGTTAATTTAATCTGGCCGTAAACGCCACTCTCTTCCCCAGAATTTTGACCGCATGAGCGGCTTGGAGCCTGGGCGAGCCAGACTTTTGGGATCCAGTGTAGGTTGTTCTTTTAATTTGGCCTCCAATTCCGGATCCCGGCAGCATCCCCGTTGCGGCTATATCAGAAAGTAATTGTTTGGATAAATGGTGCTTGTCGAACAGTATCAATGTGACCTACCGTATTTTTTTGCCTTCCACCCGGAAAAGGGTAGTCGATATCTGATCACGCACCTAGGTAGGTTATGATAAACCCAATGTCAAGGCCGCCGGGCCTCAGCCCGCCTCGCTCTTTTCCCATCGCCAGCAGCCAACCCACCTGGCAAGACCACAAGACAACGAACGATGCACTGGAACTCGCTTGCTGCCGTTGCGGCGCTTATGGCACCTGGCGCCACTGCTCTGCTTCGCTTTTCATGTTCATCTCTTGTCATCGATCGCCTTGACCCCTTGGTCAATCCGAGCCAGATGCCCTCCCCGCATCTGCACCAGATCGTGGGCGGGAACGGCTTCAATGTCACCATGGATCCCACCAAAGACATCTCCGACGTTGCGACATGCACAACCTGCACCTTTGCCGAGGACTTTTCCAACTACTGGACTGCCGTGCTGTTTTTCAAGGCACGAAACGGCACCTACAAGCAGGTGCCGCTGCAGCCCAACATCGGATTCGAGCAGGCCAACGGCGGCATGACGGTTTACTACTCGCCCCAGGCCCGGGGTACCGTCACGGCCTTCAAGCCGGGCTTCCGCATGCTCATCGGCGACCCCAATGCCCGCGACAAGGCCAAGGCGCAGAAATACCGCCAGCTCACGTACACCTGCCTGCTTACCACGGGCACCAGGTCCGGGGAAACCAAGAACTTCCCGACGAGGCCTTGCCCGGCCGGCATCATGGCCAACGTCCGCTTCCCGACCTGCTGGGACGGGAAGAACCTCGACAGCCCCGATCACATGAGCCACGTGGCGTACCCATCCATGGGCACGTTTGAGAGCAACGGGCCCTGCCCGACAACGCACCCCGTGCAGATCCCGCAGCTCTTCTACGAGGCAATTTGGGACACCAGGCAGTTTAACAACAAGTCGCAATGGCCCGAGGATGGCTCCCAGCCCTTTGTGTGGAGTCAGGGAGACGAGACTGGTTTCGGCACTCACGGTGACTATGTCTTCGGCTGGAAGGGCGACGCTCTCCAGAAGGCGATGACGTCCAACTGCAATATCAACTGTCCCCAGCTCAAGTCTCAGTCAATTGCGCAGGGTAACCAGTGCAACGTTAAGCCTAAGGTCCATGAGAATCTCGGTGGGTGGCTCGACCAGCTTCCTGGTATAGATGAATTGTAAATGTAGGGAAAGACGGGAACGCTGGCATGTAAAATGCAGTGAGTCGAAGATTCCTAGCAAAGATACCAATCAACCAGTGGTCCCATTGTATTTTGTTAGATGAATATAGATGACTATTATCACACCTAGGAAGGGTAAATGATGTCCCACGGAATCGCTCGACGAATGAGCCTTTACGCCCTAGCTGGAAGAGCTGTGTCGGTGGTAGCGAGTTAAAGAAGCGAAGCCGGGAGGTTGACCCCTGGGAAGGATTGTAGGAAGGCAACAAGAGTAACATTATCCCGATGAACTCTTGTAATCATTGCCCACGGAGGGATATCCATGCGATGTCAAACGATATAACAATTTCTCCGCGGGCAGGTGCTATTTACTCCGCGGGCAGGCGGTCTGTGCGGCGCAGGTGCGAGCAGCTGCCGGAAAATCCTGGCAGGTGGTATCGAAGCTGGCGGCCCTCTCGCACAGGCCATCTCTACACTGCCTGGGGCTACACCGCCTGGGGCTACACCGCCTGGGGCTACATATTACGCCACGAAGTCCAAAACCTTCTCGCCGCACCTACAACACCACACATTCAATTGAAGTAATAAAAAATAGACTTGGAGGATGGCCTTAATTAGGGCTATCTGGAAATACTAGTTATAAGTGGTTCTGACAAGTGGTTGCGGCGGGATTCTGTTGTGGCTAAAGGTCTTCTGTGAAGAGGGATGATGCCAGCAAATTGGCCCAAACAACCATTCTAGAGGCGATTGACTAGCCCCTAACCTTCGCAGTAGGCTTTACTGCATGACCACTCTGGGTCTGTTGGACGGCCTGCTGTGGGCCTGTGGAAACGCCTGCGGGAGTGCCTGTGGAAGTGCCTGCAGAAGTGCCTGCAGAAGTGCCTGCAGAAGTGCCCGCAGAAGTGCCTGCGGAAGTGCCTGCGGAAGTGCCTGCGGGAGCGCCTGTGGGAGCAGTAGATTGGGCAGCAACTGCAGCTGAGCCAGATGGCTCTGGTTGAACAGTCTTTGGTCGATTCTTGCTTCCCTTGGGCTGGCCTTGCTGTTGCTTTGGCGCTGGCTTCCTCTCGTTGCCATTCCCTTCGTTGCTATTGCTAGCAGCACCACTGACCTGCTCCTACTGACTTCGTCGGCGCCGAATATTAGGTTGTAGGCGTGATCTAGGCACCACACGACGTATCGGCTGGACTGTGGATGACTGCGAGCTACTTGCAGGTGTATTCTGTTGACTGGAAGCATCTTCTTTGCGTGGATGGACTACTATTGAATGCGGGAGCGGAATCGGGTTGTTCCTTGGGCGACCTTGGAGTCGACTTGCAACAGGGGGGTTTCGAATACGGAGGTATGGGTCATCGTTGTCCTGTTAAATAGCAGATGTTAGATAATCATGTGAAAGAATGAAGCTATTCCTTTACCAGCTGCTGTGGAAGATGCTAGTGGCTATCAACGTCTCCAAGGACCAACGGCTCATTTGTTTGAAGCCGTTCTAGTATCAGATGACGGCAAGGAAGACCCATCTGGTCCTTTACTGTACACTCTGCTGTACACTGGCTGATATCCTCTGCAAGGCGTGTTGCTGTTGGGACTGCTTTTGAAGCCATCAAATACTCCTTGTTGATCTGGTCAAGGGCGTAGTATGAGATCTGACGAGGTAAACGACTAAGGTAATCCTGGGTAAGATATATCTGCCTTACCCTTTTCTCCTGCTTAGCAACTATCTGCGTTAGGCGTTGCTGCTAATCACTGCAGAGTTCTTGAAGTGCCTTGACAAGCCAGAAGAGATTGCTGTTACTGTTAAGAAGGTAGCCTTTGATATTGAAGTTGCTAGATTCTGTAGGTGAAGTAACGCGAGTGCCTTAATTCAAGTAGGTCTTGATATGGTGCTGGGCCTACTGATCTCTCACTGGCATCTACGACTTCTGAAGGTAAGAAAGGATCTTTTCCTGATATGCAAACTTATCCCGAAGCTTGCTTCACGCCTCCTTGAAATTATCTTCGGTATCTGCAAACACCACGACCTTCTAGAGCTGTAGAATGCCATGATGATCGTGAGGAATCTTGTTAGAGGCAGTAGCTACTGCCTTGTGTCGATGAACCCCTTGGTTTACGCTCTGCAGCGTATCACAGTCTTCATCGTTAAGCTGATCTTGGTTGACTGACTTTGAAGGTTCCTACGCCTCGCTGTCGCTGTCACTGTCACTGCTAGAAGAGTCTGAACCTGATTCCTGCTTTTACTTTGTCTTGGCTTGAAGGAGAACGTTCTTGTTTATATGGAAGATATAGATTTGAAGCTGCGTGGCTGGAAATACTGCCTGTACAGCGCTACGAAGCTGCTTGTCTTGGTCAGTCACTACTACATGGGGGACTGGAGTGTTGATCTTGGCCTGCATCTGGTTTAAGCTGTCTATAAGGAAGTCAAAAGACTCCCTTTTCTCGTCGTTGATGAGCCTAAACGCTAGGTTGGCAACTGTATTGAGCCTAGTGGTTGTGGTTATCACAAGAAGAGGATATCGACTCTTATTGGTGCTGTATGTGTTGTCAATCGAAAGGACCTTGCCATGGCGCTTCTATATGCCCTCACACTAAGGGAAGGTAAAGATGATGCCAAGCAGCTGGTCTGGGTTGTTAGGATCTATCTTGTGGATGTAGTTGATGTTCCTGTCGTTGAATTTCTTAAGCAGCGCGCTAGCAGAAGTATACCTATCCAACTCTTGAAGGCGAAGTTGATGGCGGGTGTTACTAATGTCTTTCTGGGTATATACAGAGCTGGGCAGGTTGTCTTGGACAATGCCTGCCACATCGCGGGACTGTATTCCAACCTGCTGTGACTGCGCTTTGATTATCTCAAGGGCCTTGGCAGTCATCTTGCGATGCATTGGATGGGCCGATGGATTGCTAGAGGCTTGATGGTTGTGGATGTGAAAGGCGGGATCCTTGTTGTTGTAATATATCTAGCCCTGTTGAGCGCGACTAGTCCCTGGGATTACCTGGGCAACAGCAAAGCTGCGAAAGGGGTAGTTGGTTTTGCGCGATTTTGTCTTCCGTATCGTTGCTTGAGAGGGCTGAGGTTGGAAGGACTGGTCACAGCGAATAACATATCGAGTTGCCTGGTTGTTGATGTAGTTTGACGCGTTTTTCCTAATCACAGCGTAGCCGTGGGCCTTTGCGAAGTCGTTGAGAGAATCATGGAGCTCTTGGATTGTTGCTGCAGGGACTCTTGACCTATCTTCTTGTAAGATTCCACCCTTAGGAGGCAGCTCAAGTCTAAAAACAGGGTTGGGATCTTCGAAGTCATTGTCGTCATCATTGTCAAAGTGGTAAAAGTTGTTGGGGTGGCGGTTGGAATCTTCTTTGCGGTTGGAATCTTCTTTGCGGTTGGAATCTTCTTTGCAGTCGGAATCTTCTTTGCGGTGGGGATCTTTGCGGTCGGAATCTTCTTCGCGGTTGAGATCTTCGCGGTTGGAATCTTCTTTGCTGATAGAGTTGTCAAGGTTGTACATGAAGCGAGTGAAATTATCACCAACGCTTGGGATACTGAGATCAGACTCTTTAGAGTCTTTGCGGTCAAGATCTTCTTTGCTGTCGGAGGCTACGCCGTTGGAATCTTCGTAGTCGGAATCTTCTTTGCTGCCAGACGCCTCGCCCTTGGAATCTTTGCCGTCAAGCCTGACTAGGTTGTCCGAAAAACCTTCCCACTCCTCGCCATCGTGAATACTGTCAGGATCACTGTCAATGGCTGTTAAGTCGATGACCTCCTGTGGCTGACGGCGCTGCGGCTGTAGATCCACCACTGGTCTGTACCGGGCAACGTCGATGAGGTCCTCAATCAGTGGAAACTCGTCAGAGGAGTCTGTATCGTTGTTGTCTGGCGCGCTTATTGTAACTATCGACTAGGAAGTCGTCAGTCAACGCGTTAGAAGAGCGGGCAAAGTGCCAGACCTACTGAGGTGGAAAAGGCGCAACGGCAATAGCAGTCAATTCAATTCGGTATTGTGGTAGGAAAGTAGGAAGGTAAGGAAGGTAGGTAGGTAAGTTAGGTGGCAGTAAAAGTTAGGTTGGCTACGTCATTACTGCTACGTCATTACTTGCAGTGGATGCTGTGGCAGTATTTTCTGGCAGTATTCTTAAAGGGCCGCCGGCTTCGATACCACCTGCCAGGATTTTCCGGCGGCTGCTCGCACCTGCGCCGCACAGACCGCCTGCCCGCGGAGTAGACAACGCATGCCCGCGGAGAAATTCTCATAACGTTTGAAAAGGGGGTAAGAGGGGTGGGCTGTGCAGATTGACCATGTGGAGTAGTTCATTGTTTCCTCCTCAAGTCTAACATGCAGATGGTCCAAACACCTCTCTCAATATCTTTTATGGCATCACGCCTAGACCTTCTAGTTATTCTGCATCTGATTAGTTGTTCTTGAACCTTTGCGTGAACCTATCAATTGGACCAGCGTGGCGACCCAAAACCCGGCTAGTAACTGCACCGACTCAGCGCCGTTGCGAATGCAAGTCTATTTGTCTTTTAGATAGTCATTAACTGCTTGATTCAATCTCTCAGCTTTCCTGACATCGGGCGACTCGTGGGGGTGCTCGCCGTTTTGCACTGCACGTGCATAGTCACGTGGATGCATCGGAACCCAGTAAACCCCGTTCGGTCCCGAGCTAGAGTTTTGGTGGTCCGTCCACCAGGCAGGGGCTCCGGCGGTCCCGTCACGGCGACTGGCCGGGGACTGCGGCGACCCAAAAATTTTGCAACACCGCCGAAAGGATTCAGACTGGGTTGATTTTGTCGATGATGCTCCACAAGGCCTCGCGTACAATGAGTTCTAGCATTTGTATAAAAAGCTGCCCTTCTATCTTGAGAACGGAGCTTGGATTTGGGTTATCAGCATTAAACGACCTAGATACTCATCAGTCAACCCCTCGCGAACAGACAGGCCATCTCACATCGCCTTCACCATCATCTTCACCCACATCTCCATCTCATACTTAGACAACCAATCTTGCCACCGCACATCTTCTCCCTGCCATTCTCTTCTCGCACACAACAATGGCGCAAGCCACCCAGACATCGGTCGTTGTCATCGGCGGCTCCCTGGTGGGCCTCTCCACCGCCCTGTTCCTCTCTGACCGCGGAATTCCCGTTGTGGTCATCGAGCGTCACAAAGATTCCTCGCTACACCCACGCGCAATTGGCTACACCCACCGCACCATCGAGCTGCTCCGGTCCGTCGGCATCGAGGATCGCATCCCCGATGACAAATCCAAGACCATACCCGGCAAACCCCGTCGCGTTAAAGTGGACAGTCTCTCCGGAAAGTGGTACGATGAGACCCACTGGACGGCCAACCAGCCCCAGGGCAGCAAGCCCGCCGAAGGTCGGCCCAGTGGCCCAGGCGGACCTGGTGGCCCTGGCGGTCCAGGTGGTCCAGGGAAACCCGGAGGAAGTAACGGACCTCCCGGCGACGCAGGCCCCTTCTCTCCAAGCAAGGCCACGGCCATCGCCCAGGACAACATCGAGCCCATCTTGCGCAATCGTGCCGTGGAGCTCGGCGCCGACCTCCGCCTCGGTTGTAAGATGACGTCCTTCTCCCAAGACCAAGACTACGTCACCGTAACCGCGACCGACGACTCCGGCGCCGAGTTCACCGTGCGGGCCAGATACATGGTAGCCTGCGACGGCGGCCGGTCCGCCGTCCGCGAGGCCCTCGGCATCAAGCAGACCGGCGTGGGCCACCTCCGCACCCTGCGCAGCATCCTGTTCCGCTGCCCGCCCATCAACAAGTACCTAGAACGCGGCTTCGTGCAGTTCGCCTACGACACCCCCGAGTTCGAGGGCTTCCTCACCACCTACATGGACGGCCGCTGGGCGCTCATGACCACCATCACAGACCCCTCCACGCCCACCCCCTCCGACGCCGCCCAGCGCGCCCTAATCCGCCTCGCCGCCGGCCCCAACGAGCCCCTACAGGACAGCGACATCACCCTCCTAGCCGAGGGCCAATGGGAGCTAAGCGCGCTGATCGCCTCCTCCTTCACGTCGGGCCGCGTGCACCTCGCGGGCGACGCGGCGCACACGCTGCCGCCCAACCGCGGCGGCTACGGGGCCAACACGGGGATCGCCGACGCGCACAACATCGCGTGGAAAATCGCCGCGGTGCTGGCGGGAAGGGCGCGGCCGGATTTGCTCGACACGTACGACGCCGAGCGTAGGCCCGTCGCGGTCACGCGGCATGACCAGATTTTCGCCCGGCCGGATTACAGGCAGTACCTGCGGCCTGGGTCCGAGTGGCTCGATAAGGAGATTCCCGTCTTGGACGATGTTGCTATGGAGCTGGGGCAGATTTATCGCTCCGACGCTGTCATTGGGGCTGACTCGAGCCTGCCTGATGCTCGGAGGCCGGACGAGTGGGCTGGCCAGCCGGGCACTCGGGCGCCGCATCTGTGGTTGAGCAAGGCTGGTGGTGATAAGGTCTCGACGCTGGATGTGATTGGGAAGGACTGGGTGCTTATTTCTGAAGATGGGTCTTGGGCGGAAGCAGCAGGGAAGTCGGACAATTGCGGGTTTGTCCAGATTGGCGGTGAGGATCTGCACCCGGTCGACGGCGAGGAGGCGTTTCGCAAGGCTTTTGGTCTAGAGGCTTCAGGGGCTGCGCTCATTCGGCCGGACGGCTTTGTCGCTTGGAGAGCGGTGCAGAAGCCTGCTTCTGCTATTGCCGATTTCCTCGAGGCCTTTGGCAAGGTTTCTCACGCGGCTTGAATAATGTACATTCCTTGATTTTACGGCTTGATGTAGACATTTGGAGCGGGGTTTTGTTTTGCGTGTTCATTATAGATCTGTCCAGCAATATATTGGCTTCTTAGTGTCGGATTTTGGGCAGGAAACCGGGACCCGAACAAAAGGCTCGCAGAGAACCTAAGAGTGTCGTGTTGCGGTCCCTCACCCCCTATTCCATGTTCAGGATACAAGCAAACAGAGATGAAGCCGCGAGGTGCACTATACTGATAACCACGACCAGCACTGCTAGTTGCTAACCAGGACATCGAGGCTATCTTCCTACCCTCAATTGCCGCAAAAGTCCGGACCGGTTCCGCAAAATCCAAATTGGCTGAAACGAGTCAGATATTTCCCAACCGGCGAAAAGGACCGTAGAAGAATGGCTTATAATTACCTGCAGCAAGCTCCATCGGGACACTCAGAGTGTCCAGACGGAGCGTACTGACCACAGTCTGCTGTCGCGTCGCAGTTGTTCTGGCATCTGTTTGGCACACAAGTGACGGGTTAACTCGTGTGGTTGGCATGAAGGACAAGGGGAAGAGAGACTTGCTGGTCGCCACAGAACTCGGGCCCGAAACCGCAATAGCCTGCACGCGCCAGTGATTAGTTGTTGGAGTGAATATTACTAAAGGCTCAACGTAGCTGATGGTTAAGTTGATCCAGGGGACTCACCGAACTCGCTACAGCAACCCACTGCGCAAGACGTGGTGGCATCGCACTGAACGCTTGGAAGGCCAAGCGCTGAACTGGCCAGGAGCGAGATAACAAGTGCCAGGGATGGAGCACTCATGTTGGGCAGGTGGTTTGGCGGTTTGGCAGTAGAAGGGGTAACTGATGCTGTCTAGTGGAATGTGATGATGGCGTAAAAAATACTACGAGCAGGCAGGCTAAGGATCACGTAGATCACCTTTATATAATTTGCTACCTGCAGCGTTTTCTGCTGACGGTCAGCAGCACCGACTGCCGTGTCTTCCATAGTGTCTTCCATATGAAGATGATGCAGTGAGATTTAAACCCGAGGTGTTTCCTTTTCTTTTAATATTGCCGACCCTGACTGCTTCGCGCCGTGTATTGAAGTGGTACAAGATTCCTGAAGGAATCGCGTACCTTGAGTGAGTTGGCCCGCAGTGGCTCAGCTCCTCGGTCACATTTTCAAGGCTACATGTAACAGTCCAGCAATGTCACGGCGCTTTTAATCTAGACGGCTTACACCCGCCGCAGGGGCCCCGCATCTTCCCCGAGTTCCGTCCCATGATATGAGCACCTCCAGAGTATCGCCGAAAAAAATTGCTTGTTTGGGTCAGGTTTGCATCTTTGTTGGCGTCTTGTGTTAAGACAGGCGCCATCCAGACTCCCAACTTGCTGCCGACAAATTAAGTCGCAGCGCAGACTGTCTCAAAAAAACATCTCTACCACCATGATCACCCAAAACGCTACGCCAATGCTATACAGTTCTTTCCATATTTCCCCCAACCATGACCAGCCCAAGGCCTCAAGCCGCGCGTGCCACAATTCTGAGTTGTCGATACCTGCCTCCGACTCCAGTGCCAGTCCCATAGCGTCCGTGTCTCCTTGTTGCTGCATCACGACCCTCCTCGTGGCTTCTGGCCAGTAACAACGTGGAACGTCAAGTAAGAATGCACCGACGAGTCCATCAAGGACTTGCGGACCTCTATCAAAAACACCTCAACCTGCGCTGCCGTCCATCCGAGTCCCCGCGTCAGCGGAGCCATGCTAACGGCCTGCAGGGCGTCGATGATCATGCTGCGGTTGTAGAGCCCGATTGTCTTCATCTTGCGGTCCTTTGGCCAGATGCCGATCGGAACCTTCCAAACCTTCTCGGTGACGTTCTCGAAGCCCCCTTCCGTCAACAGCTCGTGGTTCTTCTCCATGGCCAAGGGATTGATCCCAAACTTGGAGAAACCTTCCATGCAAAGGTCGACGAACTTTCCATAGCTGTAACTGGGTGGCATGGTGTCATCGTCGCATTGTATGACGAAACGGAGCTCCTGGAGTTCAAGCCAGCCTCCAGGTTTTATCGCACTGAGAAGAGTTAGGGATAAGCTTGGCCATGTAACGCGACCAGACAGATATCTACGTACGTGTAAGCTTGTCTGACGAGTCGTGGCCAATTCTTGATAGCCATGCAGACATGCCTGGCATGGACAAGATCAAAGGTGTCGGGGCCATACACCCAGTCGGCCTCGGCGTCATCAACCTGGAATCGCACATTTGGCGGCACCCAGCCCGGCTGGATGGGGCTCAGGTCATTACCGATGACGTCGGCTTCGGGATACTCATCACCGACTGAAGGAAGGCCCAGGGCGTCAGCAATAATACTTAGGGGGGTCAGGGTCGCAACTTCAGGGGGGCGCAGGTGGGCCACGTACTGTCTATTGCCCAGATCCCGGTCCCCGTGCCGATATCGATGATGTTCTGGGGATTGTGCAGCGGCGCCACGTGTAACTGGCCTCCACACAGGTTCACCACCATTGCATGCTTCATGTCCTCGCGCTCCTGTTCCGGCTCGTCGTTGGGGATGAGATATCTCCCCTCCTTGAACTTGTGGTACCTCCTGTTGTTCTCGAAGACGTAATCCCTGACCGTCGCCGACAGCGAGGTCGACGACGTGGAATGGGAGTCAGTCTCGTATCCATCATCGCCCGGTGCGCCGGCGTCAAGATCGGCCTCCAATATGGCGTTTTGTTCCTCGGCCGGCGACTGAGGCGACTGAGGTTGTGGAGTCAACGATGGTTGCTTCGCATGAGAGTCCTGCCCCTGTACCTGCACAGGAGGAGTCGGGGACTTTGGTGCGGAGGACTTGGCTGGGGAAGTTGGTTCCGCCATGGGAGAATTAGAGAAAAAGTGAGTGGGTTATGAAGATTTCACGGCCACTGGGCGGCTGTGACGGTCCACACGAATGGATGAGGTATTATTTACACTACTCTCAGCAGCCTGTGCATTTTCGCATCAGGCCAGGTCGGGTGGTGGTGGTGGGGGGTGGGGGATTTTCTATTTATGCGAAACGTTGCTTGGTACAAAAATTACATACAGCCAGCCGCAAACGACAGGCCGGAGAGGACTTACCGCGCAGGCCAAATGCAAATGCAAGCCTGGGTGGTGGTTGTGGTGGTCAGCTTCCTGCTTCCGTGCTTGTCGAATTCCACTGTTGGAAATCCATAACGAACGACCCCCGCGCCGAGTAACCGAACTAGTAAATTCTAGCGAGTGCATCCTGCTATCTTGCATGACTTTGGTCCAAGAGAATTGCCCCAAGTGCGTCGCCGCCACCAATCGGGACCCGTGCCTAACGGCCGGCGTTCTGCATCATCCCAATCCGGGTTCGCTCACCTGCCGCCCCCTGGCATCTTCTGCAAGCTACGTACGGACGCCTTGACTCTCAGACCTCCCAATAAAGGTCATGTTCCCTCCCTCCGCCCGTCCAAGACAATCCGTCTTTCCGCTGTCAGAAATTAGTTCCTGCGGACGAGCCCCCCCCTTCTTCCAGAAATAATAACCACACAAACTCCCATGGCCTCCGCTATCGAAATCGCCCAGGAGGAGCTGAACAAAGCCGTGGCCGAGTTCAAGGCCACCCAGGGCGCCAATGGCACATACGCGGATAAGACGCAGCGCAGGCGGATTGTCGATGCGGCTCAGCAGGTGATGCGCGCGGTCAAAGATCCCGCCGACGAGTGGGTCGACATGAGCGGACAGCTCGCCGTCATCGCCGTCAACCGTCTTTTCTGGGACTGGGGCGTGTTCGACAAGATCCCGCTGGAAGGGAGCATCTCGTACTCGGACCTGGCTGCGGCGGTCGATGCCGAGGTGGCCCTGATAGGTGAGAAGGGCAGCGGCCGAGCTTGTGATTTCTTGTATCCGCTCACTCTTCCGCAGCTCGGCTTGGTGGAGTCCTCGTCTCGATGGGAGTGTTGAATCAGACCGGCACGGACCTGGTCTCACACACGCACCGCTCGCTGATATTCGTCGAGGGAGCGGATGCTGGCTTGGTGTACCAACTCTCGTAAGTCCCGCTTTCCCCTTGAAGAATTGTCCTGTAAATTGTTGCCCTAACCATTGACATAATTCTCAGTTGGGACAATGGCATGGTGCCCTGGGCGCAGTTCCCCAGGTATTTCGAAGAGTACGGGAGGAAAGAGCCGCAGACTCTGACCCATGTGCCCGCCACATTCGCCTATGGCCACCCGGAGCTGAGTTATTACGATATGCTGAGCCTCAAGCCAGACATGAGGAAGATGTTCATGAAAGCGATGGCACCCATCGAGGCGAAGATGCCCATCGCTGGCATCTACAACTTTGACTGGTTGGTTGAGAAAGCCAGAGACCCATCGACCGCGGACCTGGCTGTTTTTGTCGACGTCGGGGGTGGTAAAGGGCACGCCATCGAGGCCATCTGGAATGAGTTCCCGGACCTCCCTCTCAACCGCTTTATCTTGCAAGACAGGCCCGAAGTTATTGCCGAGGTAAAGGCATTGGATGAAGCGGGTCTCCGAGAGGTTCAGAAAATGGTAGTTAACTTCCACGAAGGGCAACCGGTAAAAGGTATGCCATTTTCATTTCTGCCTCGTTGTCACCTTGTCGTATTTGAGAAATACCTCAAGTTCCCGGGGAAGAAAAAAGGGCTAATGTGAGAACATGTCAGGTGCTCTTGTCTATTGGATCCGGCGTTGCCTGCATAACTACGGTGACGATGTGAGCATCAACATTCTTCGAAATGTAGCAGAGGCAATGACGGAAGACAGCAAACTCCTGCTCGAGGAAGACGTCCTGGACAACCCGCCGAACCACATGGCGGCGATGCTGGACTTGATCATGCTCGGATTTGGCGGAAAACAGCGCAATCTTGAGACGTGGGAGAAGGTCATTTCAGCGGCCGGTCTGCGGATAAGTGGCATCTCGCAGGGCAAAGGGCCGTGGAAATCATTATCGGTGATTGAGTGTGTCAAGGGGCACGCGTAACCGGCTCGCAAACACTGGCTGTGCTGCAGATATAGATTCTCCGAGTCGCGAATAGCTGGGGCAAACTTGACCGCTCTCAATGCTGCAAAGTCACGATTGACCATTGGCGGGCATATGCGCCAAGCCAGAATTGCACAGCCAACAAGCTAGGCCTGGATAGGAATCTCGATTGCGGAACGAAGTCAGGAAGGAGTGAGGGAAATGGGACATCTAGGAATGATAGGAATGAGGGACAATTAATAGTCGGAGCTTGTCGGGAGGGTTTGGGGGAGAGTATGAGCGTTTTATCTACCGATCGCCCACAGTGATAATGATGGCCTGGGGAAGGAAGGTTTTAACATTGCAACCGGCGGGCATGGAAATGAAACCCTACAATATATATACTTTTCCTCACCCGGGAAAGCTAATATCTTGTGCAGGCGGCTTCCTTGCGGGGGGCATGTACTGCTACAGCACAGCCCTGGCATAGCCCCGTGTATAGTACACGTGCCCTCGGCGAATCCGAGGTGTCCATAAATGTACCTTGGCAACCTGGATCAGCATCGGCAATGTGGAGCGGGTGAGGCTCGGCACGCTCTTGGCGGATGACTTGGCCGGTGTGGATTGGTCAAAGTCATCAGCGAGCATCCTTTGAGATGACGAAGCATGCACCAGAGGCCAGAAACCAGCAAATGGTCATGCGCCATCATCTCGGGTTGCGATAAGTGCCAAGAGGCTAATAGCCTTTCGCAAGCCTCGGCGACCAGGATCACTTGCGAGTCTTTTTTAAAAACAAGTCGGCCCGCCCCCTTTGCGGGGTGGAAGCCACAAAAAAAAAGAGAGCAGAAGGGAATCCAGCATTTCTCAAGGGCATTCGTGATTGTTGCGATGTCAACCGTCGGACAACCGCGCCGAACAATGCCTCGAGCTTCAGTACCGTGATCGATAAACTCCTTCCCCCCCTCCCTCCGCCTCTCTAGCCTACCACCAAATGGACGGCGACGAGATCACGGCCGCGGGCCCCAACTGGGCTGGTTCCCCCAAACCCCCAACCCAGACCCGCAATCAAGGCAGCAGCGATGCGGAGGCTAAATTCGAGCTGTTCGAAGGAAAAGCAAAGGCCGCCGCCACCAACAGTCAATTCGCCTTCTCCCCCGACCAGCTGCACCGGCTCACGACCGCGAGAACCCTCACGGCTCTCCGCGCCTTTGGAGGAGTGAAGGGCCTGTGCCATGGCCTGCGGACCGATTCTTCCAGCGGCCTTGGCGTCGACGAAGACAACCTCGACGGCGCCGTCACGGCCGAGGCAGCCTTGGAAGCCGCCCGCTCGGGGCAACCGCCTCGGCTGTCCCCGCTCGACCGGACCTCTCATGAGCCGGCGCTCACGCTCAAGCTGCGCATCGATGGCGGCGAGGAGAAGGGTGGCTTCTCGGACCGGCGGCGAGTCTTTGGGGAGAACCGGCTGCCGAAGCCGAAGCACAAGTCCTTCCTCCAGCTCGCCTGGCTGGCTTTCAACGACAAGCTCATCTTCCTGCTCACGGCGTCGGCCACAGTGTCGCTCGCGCTCGGCATCTACGAGGCCGTGGCCCACGGCTCGGACGGCGGGGGCTCGAATCTCGAGTGGATCGAGAGCGTCACCATCATGGCCGCCATCGTCATCATCGTGACTGCCAGCGCCGCCAACGACTACCACAAGAACTACAAGTTCCAGAAGCTGAACCAGAAGAAAGACGAGGGGGAGGTCACGGTGATGCGCTCGGGCAAGAACAAGCTCATCTCCGTGTTCGACATCCTCGCCGGCGATGTCGTCCGCATCGAGGCCGGCCACGTCGTCCCCACCGACGGCATCCTCGTCGACGGCTACGGCATCCAGTGCGACGAGTCTCCCGTCTCGGGCGAGTCCGAGCTGGTGTCCAAGACGCCGGCCCACCACGCCGAGCTGTGCGAGTCCATCGCCGACGCGGACCCCTTCATCTTCAGCGGCACGCGCGTGACCCACGGTGTCGGCTCGTACCTGGTCACGGCCGTGGGTCCGAATTCGGTCTACGGGCGGATCAAGATGTCGCTGCGCGGGGACGTCGAGGAGACGCCCTTGCAGCAGAAGCTCGGCAGGCTGGCCAAGTACATCATTGTCCTCGGGTTCACCATCGGAATCATCTTCTTCCTCATCCTGCTAATCCGCTGGCTTGTCCAGCTCAAGTCCTTCAACGGGACGCCGCAGCAGAAAGGAGAGGCGTTCTTGCACATCTTCATGCTTGCCGTGACGGTCGTCGTCATTGGCGTGCCCGAGGGATTATCCCTGGCCGTGGCTGTTGCCCTGGCCTTTGCAACGACTCGGATGCTGAAGGACAACAATCTCGTGCGCCTGCTGAGATCCTGCGAGATTATGGGCAATGCGACCACGGTGTGCTCCGACAAGACGGGGACCCTGACCCAGAACAAGATGTCCGTTGTCAGCGGGGTCGTCGGGCATTGTCGGTTCGGAGAGCTGGCACCGGTCCCAGCAACTGCGGCCCGTGCCGATGAGTCAAGCGAGGATGAGAAATCCAAGATAGAGGCCAATTCGCTCAGTGCCCACGTCTTCACGGCGTCTCTCGCACAAGAGGTTCGAGACCTCTTTCGTGACAGCGTCGCTTTGAACTCGACTGCATTCGAGCGAGAGGACGACGGGTCGGCCAAGTTTGTTGGGTCCAGCACGGAGACTGCTCTCCTCGAGTTCGCACGCGACCACCTGGGAATGGGACCCCTGGCCGAGGAGAGATACAACGCCGAGATTGTCGAGCTGTTCCCCTTCAACGCGGACCGCAAGTGGATGGCCGCCCTCGTCAAGACCAACGGGAAGTACCGGATGTTGGCAAAAGGCGCGGCCGAGGTCATCCTGGCGAACAGCAGCCACACCATCGAGGACCCTCGGGAGGGATTGCGCACGACAACACTTGATGTGGCCACGAGAAACGGCTTCACGGCCACCACGAGCGATTACGCAATAAAGCTCCTCCGGCCTATCGCTTTGGCGTATCGGGACTTTGAAGTTTGGCCTCCCGAGGATGCCAATATCACCCGAGGAAGCGAACTCAACGATGCAAGCAACGAGCCGGCCTCGGTCGACTTCGTCAAGCTCTTCCATCGGCAGATGACATTCGCGGGCATGTTCGGCATCCGCGATCCTCTCCGGCCAGGGGTGAAGGAGTCCGTCCTCCAGTGCCAATCGGCCGGAGTCTTTGTGCGCATGGTCACGGGCGACAACTTCCTCACCGCCAAGGCCATATCTTCGGAATGTGGCATCTACACGGCAGGAGGCATCGCACTTGACGGGCCGACCTTCCGGCGCTTGACACCGGACCAGCTGGACCTTGTGCTTCCTAGGCTGCAGGTATTGGCACGCTCGACCCCGGATGACAAGCAGGTGCTGGTTCGCCACCTGAAGAAGATGGGCGAGACCGTCGCCGTGACCGGCGATGGGACAAACGACGCCTTTGCACTGAAGTCTGCCGACGTCGGGTTTGCCATGGGAATATCCGGCACCGACATCGCAAAGGAAGCGAGTTCTATTATTCTCATGGACGACAATTTTGCCAGCATTGTCAAGGCACTTTCATGGGGGAGGGCAGTCAACGACGCAGCGAAGAAGTTCATCCAGGTCTGTTCCTGTCTCCCCCCACCTTTGCTCAGCTAGGAGCCGCAACTAATCAGCAAGTTCTGCAGTTCCAACTCACAATCAACATCACCGCCGGTCTGTTGACCATCATCTCGACCCTCGTCGGCGACCCAAACACAGCCATTTTCGAAGTCATTCAGCTGCTCTGGCTCAACCTGATCATGGATATCTTCGCGGCCCTTGCCCTCGCCACCGACTCCCCGTCCAAGGATCTCCTCGAACGCCGCCCCGAACCCCGTAACGCCTCGATCATCAACGTGACCATGTGGAAGATGATCTTGGGCCAGGCCATATACCAGCTTGTCGTCGTTTTCACTCTTCATTACGCAGCAGGCAACTTCTTCACCACCGACACGGAGAGCCAAGAGCGACAACTCCAGACCCTCGTGTTCAATACGTACATGTTTATGCAACTCTTCAACCAGACCAAGTTCGTTTCCCCTTTCTTTTGCCTGCTTACTTGACTTCCTTTTTTGTAAACCGCCCCGCTGACCATTTCAAAACAGTTGCCGCCGCGTCGACAACCGATTCAACGTTTTCGAAGGCGCATGGCGCAACCCCTGGTTCATCGGCGTCCAGACGCTCACCCTAGCCGGCCAGATCGTCATCATCTTCAAGGGCAACAACGCCTTCAAGACCGAGCCCCTCAACGGCCCCCAGTGGGGGTGGACCATCTTCTTCGGCGCCATGACGATCCCCATCGGCGCCGCGATCCGCACCGTCCCCGACAGCCTAGTCCGCAACCTCGGGCTGAAGCTCCGCCCGCTATCCTTCCCCATCCGGTCCGTGGTCGCGTGGCTGCGGCGGCGGAAGGCGAAGGGGCTCAGCACCATCGAGGCGACGGTGGAGAGCGCCATCAACACGGGCGACCCGGAGGAGCCAGACGAGGAGCGGCGGATCCGGCGGTTCCACTGGCGGTGGGGCAAGGCGGCGAGCCGGAAGCGGTCGCCGACCTTCTCGTTCCCCATCGTCCCGAGGCAGCGGAGGTCCAACACCAACACGGTCGCGGGCCTGGTCGCCGCCGGGCTTGCGACGGCGGGGGTGGCCATGGACGCGCAGCAGCTGCGGTACGGTCCGGATGGCCGTAAAGGGCCCGGTGTTGTCGGTCCGGGGGATCCTGACAGGTTCGACGTCGTGCGGGCTATTGAGATGGCTAGGGAGCAGAGGGGGGGCATGCAGGGTGGGCTGGAGCTGCATCCTGACACGAAGAAGGATGATCCTGTGATTTATTCCCGAGTGGGGAAGTCAGGAGGACCGCCGAGCCAAAACCCTGAACTGAGGGCGCACATGGGGTTCTAACTGGCAGACACGAACGAGCAACGTGCCGGTGCAGGACGCAAGCTAGGCAGAAAGAAACAATCGAGATGTGAATGGTTCACTAGCCACAGGCCCTAGTCAGCGTCCAAGGCGTGAACAACTTACTACAAACTATTGAAAGTGTAAAATGGGTGCTACTGATATTTCCCCCCGACGAATCCTGAAAAGGCCCAAGCCCGACATCCAGCGATAAAGCCATTTCGCTCAACCTTCATCGGCCATATGGTTCACAGCGTGAAGTCATGCGTCAGAGCAGGTCCCAACGTCGACCCAGCTCCAAGACACCTCCGCCCCATGATGCTAGCAGACGTGTTTCTGCAAGCATACAATCCCGGAACCGCACTCCCGTCGTCCTCCCTCACCACCCTCTGGAACTCATCCCTCAAAAGCCCGCCCTTCGTCCCCAAGTCTCCCGGCCAGATGGGCATATCGTAGAACGGCGCCTTCTCGAGTGCCCCCATGTTCGGGTTGGGCCGGACTTCGGGATTGCCAAAGTAGTTATCATAGGTCCTCCACTTGCCCACAGTCACAGGAAGGTATGTTCTATGCAGCACAGTTACTTAAACCCCCGCAAGCCCCTAGAGCACCCACAGCGCACCATACACACGCATACGCAATACACTTGCAGGTCATCATTCACTACAACGAGGTAGTAGGTCCTGCCACTTGCCCAGTGTCCCCTCATCGAAGATCTCCCTCTCAATTGTTCGGCCACCTCCCTTACCCTCAGGGCCGCCGTCAAACCGCCAACATCCCTACCTACCACCAGCAGATCAGTTGTTTCGTCGAAAGCAGCATCGATGGACGTCGACTGGATGCGAGATCCATGAGGACTTGATGAAGAAGACGCTCATCTTTCATCAAGACCGACTTGCCAGGCTGTAAGGGTTGATGTCCGAAGGTAGCGTTCAGGAGTTGCCCACATCTCCTGTCCGCCAAAGTCGATCCTCCCCCAGCCCCACCAACCCTCTACCTCGTAGCGCTGTCGCAGCAAGATGTTCGTCGCGAACCGGAAGTACATGTACCGTGCCGCAGGTCGAGGATTGGTTTGGAAGGACAACTCCTTGTCGTGGATTTCCCTGCCAACCTCGGTTGTTATGATGCTGCTGTCCAAGACATGGACCTTCGACGACTTTGGCGCATCGCCAGGGACAAACGCAATCTTAGCCTGGTCCAGCATTCCCTCGTACTTTGAGGATTGGTAGTCCGTTCGCCGGGTTGGAGATATGTCCCCGATCGTCGGGAGGTTCCCCGAAGAGACGCTCAGCGACGGCAACAGCGATGGCAATGGGCAATAGCGATAGCGATAGGCAGCAACGGCAATAGCGATAGGCAGCGACGGCAGGAGCGACAGACAGCGACGGCAATAGCAATGGCGATTAAGGTACTGCCACCTGCTAGAAATCCTTCCGGCCAGGCACTAGCTGTGATGCAAATACCCCAGGCGTGAGGAGCAAATAGCCCAGGCCCGCGCAGCAAGGCCCTTAAGACGACAGTAGACCCTGCTTGAGGGGGAAACCGGGAGAGCATCGGGTCAGTATAATCCCACTCAAATAAGTTGACAGTCTTCGAGCTGAACATTCCGCCAGTTCCTGGAGCTGTCAGGAGGCGCACAAGGGGAGCCAAACTACATGCTATTCTCTAGCCAAGCTATCAACTCGACTACATATATGGACGAGAAGGTTTTGACAAAGTCGCTTCAGCTAGCGACGACAAGAGAGTTTGGCACCCCTATCAGCATTCGAGCATGGCGCCACATCTCAATCGCCTTCTGCCGGCGGTTTCTCCCCTCAGGGTCTTCTATGGAGGACATTATCGGTGTGGGGGGGGGGGGGGGGGGGGGGTTGTGGAGCCCTATTTTGTTTTGGACGAGCAGCAAACCAATAACAAACGCGTGGCATGGATATTTTATGCTTACCAGGGGGACACCGGACAAAATTTT